TTCTCAGCAGCCTATACAAGTTGCTATAGCATCGAAGATATCAGATTTGGTTAGTTTGATTGTCTCTCGCACTCTCATCTTTTTATTATACCTTTGTAGAGTTTGACTAGCGTAGTCAAAATTACAGGCATCCAAGGTGGGCAATAAGGTCAGGTCGAAGATGCAAGCAGGTGATAGTAACGCTGCACACCATGAAGGTGGAAGTGGGGATAGTCATCAGTCGGATCAGGGCTTCTTCGATGCTGCTTTCTCTGACCGGAGGGAGGATGCAGCAGTAAGTGGGGCTAGCACACCTAGGGGGGATTTTGTCCAATCTCCTTTTGGTGTGTTCTTACGTACCGATGATAAGTCTTCTTCAAAGCCTTCCAGAGATTCCAGTGATGAAAATGATGGAAACTCTGTTACCCCTAAGACACTTGCCTCAAAGGCTGAAGAATGGATGGTAAAGAAAGGATTGTCATGGCCTTGGAAAGGGAATGAACAGGAAGGTTTGGAAGGAAGGCGTGCTCATTCTGTGTGGCCTTGGGTGCAGAATGAACAACATAAAGAACAGGCTCATCAAAGTAATTCCTTTCATAGTGTAAAGACTGAAAGCCAGGCATCTGAAAGTATTAAGGCTGCCAACAACGAGGGCATGGGGTCTTGGTCGTCCTCTGTTAATGTGAACAGCACAAGCAGTGCTAGCAGCTGTGGAAGTACTAGCAGTAGTGTTATGAACAAGGTCGATATGGATAGTGACTGCCTGGACTATGAAATATTATGGGAGGATTTGACAATTGGAGAACAAATTGGGCAAGGTGATGTACTCCTTTTGCGAAATAATTCATCCTTCAAGACATCATACCATTTATGTTGTTTTCTGGTATCTGTTCTGCTAACATGCTTTGATAACTTCACTCTTTATGCATACAGGTTCATGTGGAACTGTCTATCACGGTCTATGGTTTGGATCTGTACGTTCTTGCCTTCTGTTGATGTTGTATAATATGCATTGTAGATTTTTACAAGCCTTCATGAACAAAGAGGCTCTACTGAGAATTGTTAATGTCACTGCAGGATGTGGCTGTAAAGGTGTTCTCCAAACAAGAATATTCAGAAGAGATCATAACATCTTTTAGACAAGAGGTATTATGTTTTATATCACTTTTCTAAACATATTTGGTAAAAGACAATTGATATTCGCTAAACTACCTTCATTTTCCATACAAAATCTTCTCCCAAACTACATCGTTTCAAAAAATGATATAATTTCAGAAATCAGCTTTCTACTTGTTCTAATTTGAAACTACCTATGCTGCACTTGCTTTTTCCTGAAGGTGTCGTTGATGAAAAGACTTAGACATCCAAATGTTCTACTGTTTATGGGAGCTGTGACATCACCTCAGCGTCTGTGTATAGTGACAGAGTTCCTTCCGCGGTGCAGTTTCATCTCTTTGGCTAATTCTACACTTCCTTTTGTACTTGTTGAACTCTGGGACAAAACTCTGATTTACACTCTAATTTTATCAAATTAACAAATGCAGTGGAAGTCTGTTCCGTTTGCTTCAGAGGAACACGTCGAAACTGGATTGGCGGCGACGTATCCATATGGCATCCGACATTGTGAGTATTAGTTAAACATGTGACCTTCCATTTGTTTGGTCATTGATCATTATATGTATAGTTTTGCAAGTAAACGCTACTCTATTCTGGTTCTTCGTTTCATCTGTCTTGCATATCGTTCTTTTCCACTCTTTGATTTAGTCACGGTACATCTCATACAACATGTTACATACTTCTTCCCGCAGGCTCGTGGCATGAATTATCTTCACCACTGTAGTCCGCCCATCATTCACCGTGATCTAAAGTCGTCAAATCTATTGGTAGATCGAAACTGGACAGTGAAGGTATTTTTTTCCATTATTAAATTCATGTAGTTTTCCTTAATCCTGACAAGTAATAGTTATCCATCATGCCTTTGCTAATATTGATGGAGCTAAAGAAAGATAATTTTATACCTACAAAATGCTGTCCACTTTCATCTGATTTTAGTGATTACATGTATTAGTGAATGAAGTGGACACGCATGTCTCAAATAGAATTTCAAATTATTTCACGGCTTGAGAGTATAAGCCTAGGTACAAAAGGACTGTTATAGGTCTAGTAGTTCCACTGTGTCAGAACTGGGAAGTTGTATGAGTAAATGATATTCTCAACAAAAAATAAAGCTTTAGATAATGATTAGTCTTTTGTAAATGTGCCAGAAAAAACAGAGGCTTGGATTTTGATTGCAAAGTAAAACTGATCTTGACCTTTAAAAGGCTGTTTTTTTCATGGTTAACGTACCGTGTCATCTCAAACAGGTTGCTGACTTTGGTCTTTCGCGTATCAAGCACGAGACGTACCTCACTACGAAGACCGGAAGGGGAACGGTATTTTGACCTAGACTCTTACTAAACTGATTCCTCTTTTCTGACGAAGTCAATTCTCTCATGGTGAACGCCTTTGATTTTTAACTTTTTCGCAGCCTCAATGGATGGCACCCGAAGTTCTTCGAAATGAGGCTGCTGATGAAAAGTAAAATTCTCATTTTGTGCTTGGTTAAGTTCCTTTGCTTGTTGCTCCTTAGCTTGCATCTTTAACGTTGCTCCTCCTACACTTTGAACTGCAGGTCTGACGTTTACAGCTTTGGAGTAGTACTATGGGAGCTCGTAACTGAGAAGATTCCGTGGGAAAATCTGAACGCTATGCAGGTAAAATTTCCGCATTTAGGAAAAATATGTCAAAAATTGTCCCCAAATGAAAATCTCACTAGGGAAGTATAAATTTTGGCCATATCTTAAAGCTATACAAGGCCATATAAATATTGCACGAATTATAGGTTGTTCGTCGCAGAACAGAGCACCCCATCTGCTTAAGAAAGTTTGCATTCTTATGTCTCCTCTTATGAACAAAGTGATCGAAAATATGAAGAGAAGTGTATTTAGGATACTTGCAGGTGATTGGAGCTGTGGGATTCATGAACCAAAGGCTGGATGTGCCAAAGGATGTTGATCCTCAGTGGATTTCTTTAATGGAAAGCTGCTGGCATAGGTACGTATACCATTACATATCCCTTGCTAGAAGAAATTAGCCTCAGTTATGCTTTTTGGTCTTTGATAGTTGGTTGCATATAAGAAATTAGTACGTGTTGTAGAATTAAACTTTGATTTTACCTAAAACAGAGAGCTGATAGAGAGGTTCTTATGCTCTTTCACCGTTGTGTTTTGATTAATAGTATATATTAGAAGTAGATGAAGAAGCAGCTAATGCGAGTAAGATGTTTGTGCAGCGAACCACAGCAGAGACCGACGTTCCAAGAAGTTATGGAGAAACTAAGAGAGCTTCAAAGAAAGTACACTATACAGTTCCAAGCAGCTCGTGCTGCATCAATAGACAACTCTTCCCTCAAGGAAAAATAACACACATGAAGCAGAATCTGGTTCGCGTTGAAGAAGACAGAGAGGAAGAAGCAGCTTAGATACAGAAGCAGAAGCTGAAGAAGAAGAACAGTCTTTGTGTTTGTGTTGAAGAGCAATGAAGAGAAGCAGCAAAAGAAGAAGAAATAGAAGCTTTTAGCTAGCTCGATAATTTCTTTCTCATTGCTAGAGAGGACATGTATAACGAGGATGAATCAGAAAAAAAGTCTGTACAGCTGAAAAATAACGAGGATGAATCAGAAGATTTGGAACATTTTTTGAGTAAATATTTGTCACATTTTATTTGATGATGCCATGTCATTGTATGTGTGTTTGGAGTAAAGTCAACACACAATCTCAGTGTTATTATCACACAAGTGACAAGATACGAAACTAGAAGTCGGCATCTCTATGTCTAAGCACAAGTGAAATGTCATACATGCCCTCGCCAGCAAACAACAAAGAACAAACAACTCGAATCTTAGTCTTTGGATCTTTTTTTCTTTAATCCGAATGTCGACGCATATAACGCAACATTCGAGACGAAACTATAATATTTAAGCTAATACTCGTAAATATTTTGAGTAGAGTGAGTATGAAAAGTTAAAATTGAGTAGAAGCCAAAACTATAAGTAGTACGGTGAATTCTTTACTTTTCAGCATGATACAAATAATCTCTTCACGGAAAAAGCAAATCCTAGTACGTGTGGTAGAAGAAGAAGCAGTTAGATTTCGACACGTAGATTAATAGATTATGAAGCAAATTTCAATCTTTTTGTTCTGTCATGCTCTCTTGGCATAATATGATTCTCCTTTCTCCATGAGAAAATGATTTTAGTGAACGAAAAGGAAGATGCCTTCGTACTAAACGACTCGAGCATTAAAATATAGTGAAACAAAACTGGAGTGGGTCCAGTTTAATTGTTTTCCACATTTTGCCTCACGTGTTACATCAAAAAGACCAAAGTCGACTCTCTCCACGAATCAGAGACGTTGCTCAACAAGGTGATGTCATCCAATACGTACTTCCTCCTCCCGTATCCAAAAATGTAGCCAAATTTCAGTTCCGTTAATGCTTTTTTATTCGTAACCGACTGACTCTTTTATAAGATTCTCATAAATATAATACTTATTCCATTACACCACAAATATGAAATATCTAACAGATTCTGTATAAAGTATTAGAAAAACATTTATTTATTTCTGTTTTCTTCTGCCACATTATACAGTATCACAATTTTAACTAATTTATTCACAAAAATCTGTATTATTTTGTTTTGTTATAGAAACTAATCTCTACTTTACATTAATACTATTGGCTATATTTTTTAAAAATGTCTTGAAATAATACTAAACAACAACCAAAAGAAATGCGAAAAAATATACCAACCTTTCAAAGGAAGCTTTAGTGATACAGTCAAAGTCAAACTTATGCCTCCAAATTCCAGCTTCGTCCTTATATAAACCCTACGCTCCCACACGTCTCTAAACGCTTTAAGCCTTCCTTCACAAAGCTCAAACGACAAAATTCAAACTTTCCTTAGACAGAGAGACGAGCGAGAAATGTGTCCATCTGGTAGGATTACGAGCTCTCTAACCGCCGCGAGTCCTGATTTCCGGCCGGCGTTCGAGATCATCGACGCCGATCGCGACGGTAAAATCAGCAGCGACGACCTCCGGGCATTCTACGCCGGGATTCCGAGATCTTCATCTTCGTATCGCGACGAGGAGATGATGATCGGGACGATGATATCAGTGGCGGACGCGAACAAGGACGGATTCGTGGGCTTCGACGAGTTCGAGAAAGTCCTTGAGACGGTGCCGTCGTGTAGATCTGGTAACGGATTGATGAAGGATGTGTTCAAGGTGATGGACAGAGACGGAGATGGGAGATTGAGCTACGGAGATCTCAAGAGTTACATGGAATCGGCTGGTTTGGATGCTAGCGACGACGAAATCAAGGAAATGATTAGATTGGGCGGTGGCGATTCAAACGGCGGCGTTTCGTTCGACGGTTTGCTCAGGATTTTCGGTTGCTGAAATCTGTTTTGTTTTCCACCACCCATTATTTTCCAAAATGTTTTTCCAGTAACTCAGTTTTGTCTGTTTCCATGGTTATTTGTGTAATGTGTGAAAACTAATTGTTGTTTGAACGATTCGAATATTTTTGTGGACTCTCATCGATGGACGCATATTACCAAATACCAAAATAGTCCCCAATAGGCCAAGACTCGAGAGTTTTACTAGTCTTGAAAAATACTAGTATTACGTAATTAGCTCAACGAAAAATATAAAATACTGTATTGATTAATCTTTCAAATGAAACAATAGTCAATACTCAATAGTTGCAAAAGATGATAATAAAATGAAGCAATATGTCTAGATTTAGACCTTAGTTTTCGGTCCATTATTTTCATGAGAGGGGGAGGTTGGTGTTCTTTTTTTCTTTTAAAGGGTGTATAAGAGGAAGAGAGTTGAGAGTTGGCTTCCGAGTTATCGAGAACAGCTTTACCAAGAGCTTTTACTGATATCGTTTACCAAATGTTTAACTGTAGATTTTGGATTTCAAGTTTTCAGTTCAAATTTGTTACATGTGTTTTACACTTCATTGAGTTTTGGCATTAGTCACTAGCTAAACTCACAACTTGGTGGTTGTGAACTTAATTTTTTTTTTCTAATTTCAATGCCATTATATAAATTTATAATACACAAGTGTAATTTTTTTTAAAAAAAATTGTGTATTGCATTTTAATTCGTACTTCAGAATTTTTATGAACCAATACTGTATTTTCAGAAGAAAATATATTATATAATGCAATTACTTAAGGGTAAATTTAATCAATATACATGCATTCCAAAGTTATTAGCATATCATATTCCAAATTTGCTTCTCACATGATCTTCGGCTCAGTCTAGTAGCATACATAGCCTCGATCTCTCCAGTTTTCAAGTTTATAGTGCATGATATTTTCATAAACAATGTGGAGATTATGGAAACAATCTTTGTGACTGTTGTCATAACCTACGCATTGGCGAAGTTAGTTTATAATGCATGGTGTGTCAAGTAATACACGTGGCTTTTGAATTTTGTTGTTTGCTAGTTGGCATCTGATATTTGATAGATAAAGTTAGGTGGATGCGGGATATGTTGGTTTTTTTAAAAGTTGATAGTATTGATTTATTTAGAGATGGACAATACAGTTTCCAATTTAAGTTTGTTCAGAAAGTCATCTATATTTTGATTTAAATATAATTTAGCAGTTTACAAAAAGAAATTGGTATATAGTTTTAGTTTAACATCAGCCCATGATTTTAAGGTATATGAATTCATCTATATTTCATCTCCTTTCTTTCAAACTTTAATTTCACTTATCAATTTATCGTATTTTTTCATTTCAGATGATGAAAGAATATATGGCCGAGAGCTGTCAAATAGCACATTGGACATCGAAGAACAATATGATCATCTCTTGCTGGGAATCACAACCAAAAATTATCATTCTTTAGAAGATATGTTGGTATTGCTGAAGACAATAACCTTAAAAGAACTCCAGAAATTCATTCATATTCTGCGTTCCAAGGTGGATAATAATTTATTTTCCACTTGTTACATAATGCATTTTGTTATTTTTATTTGCAGCTGTTCAATGAGGGCATTTTATTGATGGCATAAACGGATTTTCTATCCATGTTGCATCTCCAACATATGACCCATCAGAGTTGTTGACAAGAATCAACAACTTCATAAAGAGTTGTCCTAATTTATTGGTAATTTTTTTAAGTAGAATTTCGAAATTATGAGCTTTCTTTTTTTTTTTTTGTGTTTTTTTCATTATTTAATTTCCTAATGTTTGCAGAGAGCTGTTGACGATGAGACCTTTATAATGTACAAAAATGGTGTGGCTTCTCAGGTGCTAATACCCTCTGGAGAAGATATATGGGAATCCATAAATGAGAAAAAGTACTTATTTAAAATTTTCATAATGATTCATTTTTAATATTTTTCCTAATTGGTTTGTTGGTAAGTGATGAACAGTTCATTTTTAGGTGCTTGGACTCTACTAATGAGGTAGCTAGTGAAGTAGAATGTTTGAAGAAAGAAATGTAATTGAATTTCACCAGAGGTAACTTTGTGAGTCTTATTCCCAATGACCCGGGATGCAACACTCGATTTCCCTCTTCTACATAAGACTAATTTGTTTGCAATTCAAGGAATCCATTTTGCCCAGTCTATTTTGTTTGCAATTTATACATTTCTTTGCAATACTTTGTTTGCTTCAGGAAACCACTTTGTTCAATCTACTTTGTTTGCAATTTATACATTTATTTGCAATACTTTGTTTGCTTCAGGAAAGCTTTTTTTATCTAAATACATTGTTTGCTTCAGGAAAGCTTTGTTCAGTTTTTTTATACATCAACATGTCTTGATCTTACTCCTTTCTGCGATTCCTTCAATCCGTATGTTCATGTTCAGCTCGTGGCATGACTTGTTGGTGCCTCCTTGTTTGAATTTAAATCTTCAAGACTTGGGAATTTTTCCAATTGGAGAACAAATTGGGCAAGGTGATGTACTCCTTTCGCGAAAAAGACATATCCATACAATTTGTGTGGTTTCCTGGTCTCTGTTCTGCTAACATGCTCTCATAACTTCACTCTTTGGTTTTTGTCTGATGATTGAATTGGAACATAATGCTACCTTTCGTTTGCAATGCTCAGTGTTTTGTTTGCAGCTATAATTATATCAAGTAGACAAATTAAGACAAGGGGGACTTTATTAGACAAAGATTTCTCAACGAGGTTTTTTCAAGACAGAAGTAGAGTGTTTTAAGTTACAAAACATAAATGAGATTGCCGACTTAATTAGTTAGGTGATGGATTATATGGCTTTGCGCTTGATCATCACGACCTCTTCTTCTTCTTCTTCTTCTTCTTCTTCTTGTTTTCTAAAGCTTTGTGCTTGTAGCGGAGTAATCGCATCTTTGAACTTGATCGGATCTGCTTGTAGCTATGCTGAGAATTAAACGTGAAAAATCAAAAGATTCATGAGCATCAACGTAACAACCATCACCATCCATATAGAGCTATTGCTTAAATGATAAACGCATTAGCTAGAGATATCTAATCAAAGAAAATGGAGACCTTGATGGAGGCATGGAGGTAGTAGTAACATGAGACGACACCATTTCCTGTTATAACAACTTGTCAGTAAGAATTAAGAATTCAAATCAAAAGTAAAAGGGGATACATACAAGCGACTAGAAACTTTCTCAGTTGCGATTTGCAGAGGTATATATATGAAAAGAAAGAAGATCAATAGAATTAACCTGAGTTGTATCAAGTTCAACAGAGTCAGGCGTGGCCTGCAGGTACTGATCCGATCCCTTCAAATCATCAAGTCTCTCATCTGATGCCATATGGGCAGAACAAGCTTTGGAGCCTACTTCGTTCTTGGTGCCAGCTGAATGTGAAGCCAATCTGTATATGAGCCAGCAAAAACCGTCACTACAATCATCGTTACACATTAGTTAAGCTAGAGAGATCATATCAAAGTAAGTGGACACCTTGATGACGACTGATCAGGCATGGAGATGGAGGAGGTAGTAGTAGCATCATCAGGCGAGAACATAATCTGTAATAATGTTATGTGATTAATTAATAATCAAATTAATGAATAGTAAGCGCCAATGAACAAGAAAGTAAAATAACCTCGTCAAGCATGGAGATGGAGTAAGTAGCAGCATCATCAGGCGAGATCAGAATCTGTAATAATGTTATGTGATTAATTAAGAATCAAATTAATGAATAATAAGGGCCAATGAAGAAGAAAGTAAATAACCTCGTCGTCATCCAAGCCCAGATTCTTCTCCAATTCATCCATTTTCTTCCTGTACGCCCGGCGACACTTAAGGACATATGAAGATGGTCTATCATCTCTGATACCTAGTTGCTCTCTTCTAAACTTTCGATAAGATGAACTCCCAGTTAAATTTCTTGTTGGATCACGACTCAAGGGAAACATTATTGTTGTGGCCTCCTCCTAGACTCTCTGGGGACGCCGGAAACCCTAGCTACTTATATATATATATACCCAAGTTATCTGGGCCTTACCCAAAGGTTTAAAATAGCGGCAAAGCGATTTCCATTGGATTGTTTTATGTCGATTAGGGATACGCCCGTTTCGTGAAGTTTTATGCACGAGTTTTTTGGTAGCTAGATTTGGAATTTTCAGTTCGTGGATTTGCTTTCGGAAATATGACACAAGAAAAGTTTTGGTTTGAATTGTATCCTCAAAGATCTAGATTAGGGTTGAACAAATCTCTGTCGAAAATGATTAATTGTTCAGGCTTACAAAAAATTCGCTCTTTGATTTGTGCAAATTCCTTAGGCTGAAGTACGTACGCAACTGTTAGCATGAACATGGCAGCTTGTGGTATACATGCAAGAAGTCAGAAGAAGTATGGAAATGTTGGTTCTGATTTGGTCACGTACGTCACGGACCAAGGTTATACTTTTTACTAGGCATATGCAGAATCGGGAATGCAATAAAGAAAGTTGTCAATTGATATAAATGAAAAGAAGAAAGTAGATCATATAATAACCATAGTATCAAATTTATCAGAGTCAAGCGTGGCCTCCAGATACTGATCACATCCCTTCAAATGATCAAGTCTCTCATCTGGTGGGGATTTTTCAATATGGGCAGAACAAGCTCGCAGTGAAGCTTTGGAGCCTACTTCTTTCTCTGACTGTGAGGCCAATCTGTATAAGAGCAGCAGCAACAACAAGTCAACAACAACCTTTATTCAAAACCATCCTCGTAGTCGTAGCTACTAAAAGTTAATTCGATATACACACATTATAATTAGCTAGAGAGAAGATAAATGAATGTATACCTTGGTGGCGACTGAGGCATGGAGGAGGTACTAGTATCATGAGCCGAAACCTTTTTCTGTAAACAACACAAACAAGTTTTGTGCTCAAGAATCAAGAGAAATTTTATGAAATACACTTTTTGGGGTCCAAATTTTCAAAACTACACCTATAGTGTGAAATTTTTCAAAAATACACCTTTTTCTAATTTTAATATATATGTTTGGGTTCACTAATCCTAGATTAGGGTTTAGATCTTGGGTTTTAGGATTTAGATTTAAGGGTTCAATGTTAGATTTTAGGGTTTTGGATTTATATTTTAGGGTTTAGAGTTCTTTTACTCCATGAAAGAAGTGTAGTTTTGAAAATAAACATCATAGAAGTGTATTTTTGAAAATTTGCACCTCAAGAGGTGTAGTTTTGAAATTTCCCCAAGAATCAAGTCATTGACCAAAAAACAAAAAAAATCTCAATTGGTATTATATATATGAAAACAAAGTAAATAACCTGGTCACGAAGCAAGGCCCTTTTCTGGTTCCGCATCCTTAGTTCCAATGTTGCACGGCGACGCCGGCACATACTTTCATTAGGTCGATTAGGTGTGGGATCTGGATGGAGTCTTCTCAGCCTTTCACGGCCGTTCTTACGTTTCTTCATTGCCTCGTCGACACTTTGGGGACGCCGGAAGCCCTACCTACTTATATATATATATATATAAGAAATTTTATGAAATACATCTCTTGGGGTGCAAATTTTCAAAAATACACCTTTTTCTAATTTTAATATATATGTTTGGGTTCACTAATCCTATATTAGGGTTTAGATTTTGGGTTTTAGGGTTTAGATTTAAGGGTTCAATGTTAGATTTTAGGGTTTTGGATTTATATTTTAGGGTTTAGAGTTCTTTTACTCCATGAAAAAGTGTAGTTTTGAAAATAAACACCAGGTGTATTTTTGAAAATTTGCACCTCAAGAGGTGTAGTTTTGAAATTTCCCCTAAGTTATATTATTATATGGGCCTAAACTAAACCAAGGTTTACAACGTTTATATATATACCTAAACTATCTATAATTTGCCCCATCTTAAATTATCTTGTTTTCTCTTCCCTGCCGTGCGGAAGACTTTTAGATCATCTTTGTTTTAAAGTTATGCTTGTTGTTGACGACGCATAATGATATTTTCTTATGCATAACACATGCTTCAGCAGCTCTCTCATCTTCAAAAGCAAAACGCAAATGTTGCTTCCAACAACCAACCATGGCAATCAAGGTAATATGTTTAAAAGAAATCTCATGAACACCATAAATTAGCCTCTTGGTGAATCCTGAACTTCCCTATGTTGGTCTTCCTCTGCTAGCAAGGTTAATATGGATAGTGTGATTGCTTGGACTATGAAATATTATGGGAGAATTTGACAATTGGAGAACAAATTGGGCAAGGTGACGTACTCCTTTTGCGAAAAAGACATATCCATACAATTTGTGTGGTTTCCTGGTCTCTGTTCTGCTAACATGCTCTCATAACTTACCCCTTGGTTTTTGTCTGATGATTGAATTGGTTTATAAGTATATTTTCAAATTGGAACATAAAATAACAATCATAGGAAACCAACATTTTTACTTACTTTCCAACTCCATGAAAATGGTTGTCAGTGAGCCAAAACAGCTACTCGTTTCTATAGAAATGTATAAAGTTAATATCACTCTAATAATCAGATCACCAAACATCCATGTTAACCTACATCGCAAGATGTCTTGATCTTAATTTTTCATGAGCAAATGAAATGTTTTGTTGTTGATCCCTTCTCTATACAGAAAACACTAATTCAGACAGAACTCATACACCAGCTAAGTGTTTGAAACATAACAAATTTCCCAAAACACACATTCCTTTACATGGATTCCAACTACAATCAACAAGCCTTTTCACATGAATTGGTACAAGAAACTCCGGAATTACATATCATCGTCGTCTTTGATTCAAGTGAAGGCACATCAAAATTTATAGCAGCAAAAAAAACTGAAATTTGAAATTCCAAATTCTGTTCGTTTATAAAATTCCAAATCTCAGGAAGCTTCTTAGGTCAGAAGACCAAAAAACAGGGCAATAAAAGTGAGTGGCTTTCTCGTCTGCTCCGGTCGGATTCTTGGTGGAGAAGAAGAGCGAGATGACGAGAGAGGTAGAGGAACTGGTGGGGGAGATGATAGAGCCGCAACACATGTCGCCATTGGCTTTCAAAACTCTGTTTTCTAGACCCTTCCTTCAAGATAGAGACTGTAACAAGTGAGCTATGAGAGTGAAAGAGAGAAAGGAACGAATGTGGCTAAAGATTAACGTACTTGGTGTCTCTAGCTCACTCAGGTGTGCTTGCCTGCTTTCTTCTTCTAGACCGTCTAGCTGATTCTCGTTAGAGAGTCACGCTGTAACTACAACAACAGTAAACAAACAAACAGATTTTTATGTTTTTGTTCAAACAAAGATTTATGCTTCTAAGAGAATGTAATGTTATGGAAGATAATAGCAAAACGTTCTCTTTTTTTTTCTTCCAATTGAAAACAACTTCGGAGAAGAGATTGATTTTATAAACTCAAATTATATCCCGTAGATCCATGTACATTCTCTCAAATTATATCTCAAATTTGTAAACAGAAAGATAATAAAATTGAAGCGTGAGAGAGAGAGAGAGAAATTTCTCTTATTTGTTCGATTTTGCTACAAATTTTTAGTTTTGCTACAAATTGATAAATTTTTAGTTTTGCTACAAATTTCTCTTATTTGTTCGATTGGGCATGTAGTATATTTAATTATCAGACTACACCCCTTAAAAGCTTCGACAAGAAGAAATATTCCCCATTTGCACCAAATTTTTTGATTTACTCCAACATAAGGTCACTATTTTATCTCATTGCAATTTTGAAAACAACATGTCTCCATCATCAAGCTCAAGACAGCTTTAGGAGTCTGAAAAAGAATGTGATTTTTGCCATTTTCTATTTGAGAGTATTTTTGTTTAAAAAAAATGCCACAATGATTCTACAATGATATTTTAAATGCTAAACTGTCATCCAATTATTATTAGAAAAACAAATCATGAACTTTTATCCACTATATCGGATTGGTTCAGTAAAATTTTATGTAAAATATTAAAGATTGTGAACTTTTCCAAGTTGAATTGTTTGGGATTATGAATAAAAGAATAGGAAAAGTGAAACTTGTTCATATTTTTATTCCCTTATCCTTTATGGGTAAAAAAACAGCTTAATATTTCAATTTAAGTTTGATGCCCCTATATATTTTTGGGTCGTCCCAAATTAATAAACAAAACATAATCTTTAGTTTATTGATGCTTGATCATCATCACAAGCTTCTTCTTCTTCTTGTTTTCTGAAGTTTTGCTTTATGATATTTGCTTAACACCATCAAAAGTTGTTAACCTGTTATGTACTAATCTGGTACAATTATGATTATCTAGTGAAACATGTTGTTTCTATTGATTATTTGCATCGATGCTAAGTTTAAAATCTAGACAAATGATAATTCTAGCTGAATTGAGCTATTACTTAATTGTACATAATTCTTGCTGAATTGAGCTAACACGTATGCTCACTATACACGTAGGTTAGTATACTGTCCCTCAACTCTAAGTGATTTATTTGTATAGTATTTATTTATGTGTGATAAACATTACCAAGAAATGCATGTTAGCTTTGAGAGTTATGCATGTTAACTTGAATATTTTTTTGTCTTCAGGACAGAAGAAGGACTTGGATATAACGTTGAGTGCATGGCTGACTTTGTAGGTGGAATCAGCAGCTTCTCTGTCACTGTTATTTCTTCACGTTACAATCCAACATTTCTCTTGCATCGAATAAACCAGTGCATTGATAAGTGTCGTGGCTTATTGGTAAGTTTTATACTAGAATTTCAAAATTTATCGTATACTTTGAGCTTGGTAATCATGTATTTGATAATATTTATAGGATGTTGACTACCAAACCCTTGAAGAGTACAAAAGGGGCGTACGCGATCAATTGGCAGTGGAAACTGGAGAAGATATATGGAATCTGATAGAAGAGAAGAGGTGAGTTGCATTTTTTTTCATATAGATTCACTTATAATATTTACGAAAAGATGTAACTTGTTTCATAGGTGAATTCTTCACATTTTCAGATTCGTGCGTGGTTCAGAATTTCTAATATGGAATGAAGTAGAAAGCATCAAGCTAGAAGTTCTTATGGAATTTCACAAGAAATTCTTCACAGAGTCATCTCCTGAATGCCGCAAGGCTGTGGTCTGCATCTATTGATGCACTTCCTTTGCCGAATATTGAGTTTGAAGAGTCTGAGTTCTCTTGTTGGTCTTAACTCTTAACTAGAGAGTTACATTTATTTTGCAAGCTTTTCATTCTGTTTAAGAAATTGAGCTTTTATACATTGGAAGACTATATTACACAATTGGTTTTTTGCTACAGAAAAAAAGTAAAGCCTCAACTTCATATGTTTTCCTCTTCGTTGCTCATTCCTACCGGGCATCACTAATTCAGACAACTCAAAAACAGCAACTAAGCATTTGAATAAAGTAGTAAAAGCCTAAAGTCTCTCATCTTCACACGTTTTCCTTTATGAAACCTCAGTTTTATCCTCTTCCTTGTTGCTCATTGCTACCGGAGATGAGCCAGACGCAGAATCTTCAGGTTTCGTCTTAAGCTCAGACTCGAACTCTTTTGCAGCCTGCATCATTTACCAGAACCGCCTACAAGTCTTCATCAATGCACAAGAGCATCATACATACAACAAGTTACACAAGTTTTATAGAAAACACTGAAAGCAATAACAGTTACTAATCAAATCACCAGCAGCCCGGGCAATCTGTTTGATCACATTGCGTTGATCAATACTATAAAGCAAAGTTCACAATGAACACGAATGTTTCATTCTTGATTAAAGTTAAAGCCACTCGATTTCCAATCTTTCTGAATATTCTTATCAATATACCACTAATTCAGTCAGGACTCACACAAAATCCCAAATACTTAAATTCCTCGTTAACACATTTTAACAGCTTCAATCAACAAGCTTTTGGCATGTATTGGAACAAGAATCCCCCCCCACCTTTTTTTATTCAAACATCTTCACTGAAATTTGCAATAGCAGCTAAAACTGAAATTTCAAAAACGAATTATATCCGTTATATCATGAACAAACAAACCTGTTAAAAATTGACGTTCTTCCCAATCTCAGGAAGCTTCTTAGGTCCGGAAAGCAGCGCAGCGACGCCAGTAATCACAGCATGCTCAGGGCGAGTCGCTTTCTCGTTGGCTCTGGTCGGATTCTGGGGTCCAATCGCCACCAGAGAAGGAGTACTTAGTCGGGTCGTCACTCGTCACTGTGAAGCAAGTGGAGAAGAAGGAAGAGCGAGATGATGACAGCGGAAGAGAAACTCTGTTTTCTACAGCTGCGTCGTTGAATGTATGAGTTACGTCAGTGAGAGACCCATTCAAGAGCTTCGAATTCTCCATGATAAGTGAGGTCTGAGAGTTAAAGAGAAAGGATTTAATGCGAGGGATTAACATACCTGTGTCTTTAGCTCACTCCGGTAGTCAGGTGTGCTTGCTTTCTTCTTCTGGAACGTCTAGCTGATTCTCTGTTAGAGAGCATCCTGTAATAACAATCAAATGTTCATGTTCAAGCAAGGTTTTGACTTTGTCTCCTGAGAGGAAATTTGAAGATGGCAAGTAGATTTATTACCTCCTCACACGCTTAACATTGGTCGGATTCATATTTGTTTCACCATCAGCTTCTTCGTCATCACCAGAGAGCTCAGATCCACTTGTTATAGCACTGCTCACCACTGGTGTAGCTACAAATGCAAAAACATACAGATTGATTCCATTAGCATGAGCCATTTCTTCAAGAATTCTTGAACACAGCATGAGAAAACACAACAACCGTAAAAGAACATCTCAAAGACTCGTCATCCTAGAGGTAAAAGAATCAACACACGTCGTTGCTTCTGCAATCCAAACAGGCATGATTAATCGAATTCAAGAAAGATTAGAGCAAAATAAAAACCCTTTGGAAGAAGCTAGAGGGCCTTGCTCCGATGTACTGGATGTATAGGCTCCACCATTCTCAGATCTAACAGAGGTATCCTGAGGTTTGATGAAAGCTCCCTATCAAGAGTTCCACAAATCAGTTAACCAGTGTCGTCTTAAGGAAGATAACAGGAAAGCTTACTCAAATCAACATCAGAGAATAGATCAAGTTCACAAACTCAAATCATATCCACGAAATCCATACATCTTAATACTTGAAAACAACAAAACAAGCTTAGCTCTTGTATAAGTCAGCTTTTCAAAAAACTCATCCATTATTTTCAGAAACTTCAAGTTTCAGACCCCATTCATGTGGGTCAATTCAAGATCTCATAAAGAAAAGAAAAAAGGTTTGATTTTTCCTTTGAGTAGGAAAATCTACATATGCCCATTTTGCAGTATTTTGTTGCTCAAGCTTTTGGAGCTCTTAAACCAAATTTCGGAAACCAAAAAATCCAAACAGAAAGATACTCTGCTAAAAATGAAGCGTGAGAGAGAGAGAGAGAGAGAGAGAGAGAGAGAGAGAAGTTTTTACTCTTTTCAGAAATTCCCTACTCTTCGGAGTTCGGAAACGACCGGAACATTCGGAGAAGGAGGTCCGGATACGGAAACGAAAACGTCACACGCCGTCGCAGCTTCTCCGGCACTGGCCGAGGATTCTTGTATGAAGCGATGGAATGCCCACTCGGAGTCACTGCGATTCATCGCCGTCGTTCAAAGATGGTTACCGGAGATTTCTTCGACAGAGAATTTTTTTTGCCATTTTTGTATCTTTTTAATTTTGCTTCTCTCAACAATTTGCTTCTTATCCGATTGGGCGGTCTTTACATTTTTAAAATATGTTATTTTTCGACTTTATTGTTCTTTTTGTTTTTTGTAAGATATTTAATTTCCAGATTATCCTCTATGGCCCCCCAACAAGAAAGTGTATTTCCATTCACGTAAAGAACTTTTGATTTGTTCTGTAAGGTCCTATTTGAGTATTTTTATCGTAGTAACCTGGCTTCCTCACTAAGCTCACGACCGCTCTATATGGATTAAGATGTGAAGACGTAAATGATATATTTTTTTCATTATTAATCTTTAGGTTTCAAAAGGATCTGAATCCACGATTACAAGATACTTCAATGGGTTGTTTATAAATAAACGGTGGCTTAATCTATGAATACATAAGACTATGAGGAGCTTAAAGCAAATATTATTGATTCTCTCACCAAACTGCACGTAATAATATTTGTTTTCCAACGCTTTTTGGGTCAAATCCAAGTCAGACTGAGGTGGCAAGAAGGGTATTTTAGTCAATATGGAAGTTGATCTTCGTCGCGTTGTTTTTGTAACTTACTTCATTTCGTGGGTCCATTTTTTTCTTGCGACAAAAGAAAAAATGGACCCACGAAATAAAATAAGTTACAAATGAGAAGAGATCCGAGACCATGTCCATTGCAGAATTTAAAGCGGGTTTTAAAAAATTCTAGTGATTAAAATCTTTACTAAATTAAAACAACTGTTTGAAGCCTCTCAGGACATCTCACAGTTTCTAGCAGAGAATGCCACGTGGAGGAGGAAATAACAGCTTCGAGAAGCAAAAAGAATTCGGGCCTCCATTTATTAATTCGGACCTCAGTTTCTTAAACGTTAGCCCACAGAACAATATGTCTCTTAAAAAAGTCTATTCCTCTTCGTCGTCCTCTTCTTCGATAACGCACCGAGACTTGAATCGATTCATCTCTCTAATCTAATCGGTTTCTCATCTTCAATGTCCACTCCCTCTTTCGAATTTATGGCACCTCCAACTTTGAGATCCTATAAAACCCACAAACTTCCCATCTCTTAAGTTTCAAGCTCCTCTCATCTCTCATAACTTCCTCATGTAAATTGATTTCGTTTCAATAGTTAAATTCAGTTCCAAATACGATTTCCACTCTCAAAATCTACGGAGAATCCAGCAAATCATTGGTAAGCTATCGTTTACGTCTTATACTCCTCTTCAATTGATGGGTTCCTGAGATCTGCGTTTTTTTTCATCCCATGTAAACGCATCAGCCCAACTTGAGAAGCAATCGAGTCGCACGATGGTGAACATGACCTTACGTTGACCCAATCAGAAGTGGATCTGAACGTAATCCTAAACAGATCTTGATTATGTAGAGGACTGAAGAAGAAGCTATTCCTCACCTCAAAAGTGGACCGCAGCATCATCCATCATGCAAGTGCTTTTACTTTGTTTCCAAGTATTATTTGGATGTGATCAACTGAAGAAATGTATAAGTGACTTTGTTGAATGTGACTGTAAATATTTGCAGGTTAAGACTACTCTTCAGGTGTTGACTCTACAACGAGAGACTGACAAGGTAACCCAAACCAAAACATCATATACGACTCACATTCTTTTTTGGAGGCATAGTATAATATAGCATGTGGATAGGTTTCAAGATCTGATGAGTGATGAGTTTTAAGCAAATATGTCTCATTTTCCTGCATTTTGGTTCAGGTTCTAGCGAGGAAGCATATGACAGCTTTCGCACCTGATCTTATACATTCCCTTGATGGGTCTCACATGATGATAACAGCAGTTGCGGGTTTGAGTTTTGCAGGTCATTTCCAGTTTCTAAATTCATTTACTGAAAGTGTTTGTTCATTATATCTTCTTTACCCTTAAATTTCGATTTCTAGATTCGTAGTGCATGTGATGTTGATGTAATGAACAGAATACTCAGAGAGAAGTTTGTTGAGCTCTACGAAAAGCCAATCTTAGAAAATGTAAAAGAATCAAATTATAACATTACATATTCATTTTTGTCACTTTTCTTATAAACTGAATTCGTTATGGATTGGTTTATCTGTGTATTGATAGGTGGTGGAGAGTTTCCAGAAGTCCTTCCCAAGCCTAACTTTTCCGCCATTACCATACCGAGGCGACTTTGGTCTGAGATCAACATACTTCTTCAACTGAGCTGCAGCGTATTTTCAGGTTACAAAGGAACAAAGTAGCTGTTCTTGAACATACACTCCACCAAAGCCAAGGCAGGTGCGGCGGTTTTCACCAGTTTCATGAACTCCATAACCGTAAGGAGATGTCTCAGAATCGGATCTTTTTCGATAACTTAAGCAGCGGAAATGCAGGCAAGCTTGAGTCTATGTCCGATGGAAGTGTCTCCGGCGTGAAAAGAGGAAAACAAGTGGGTGATGAGGGAGCTGAGGAGGACCTTTTCTGGGAGAGAAGAAGCGTCTGTGACGCCGTCCATGCGTGTATACTTATAAACTTGATATGTATGTATAGGCATTTTAACATTATCAAATATTTAGTGGAGAAAAATATTAATTGTGTAAGAGGATTTTCTGTGAATTCCCCCGGTTTTGTCGCATTATCACCACATCAATCTGCATATTCCTTATAGCAAAAGCATCCGTTACTTAAGGTCCATTGTGTTTAATGTTTGAAGGAACTTTCAATCTCCAAAAGTGTAATGAGTTTCAGGTATTAGAGACATGTGTTTTTTTAAATACGTTCGTTGGAAATCTTATAGTCTATTCAATTTGTTTACTCTCCTTTTTATGTGACTCTATGAGGGAGGCTTCAATTTAAGCGTATTTTCCAAGCCTATTTTCTTTTTATATGTTTTTACTTCATAAACAATTAATTTATAGGTAGAGAGAGCTAAGAGATCCAACTCTTTATGTCACTTTGGCTCTTTATATTGGCATCTCTTTTGTTTCAAGGTGAATCCAATTTCATTTATTCCTTTATTATATTTTCTAACACAGGAAAGTAAAAACAGAAAATAATAGAAAAGGAAACAAAGTGAAATTGATTTTGAGCATAAATGAATATGGCAAAAAGAGAGGGATGAAAATATTACAACATGTGTCAATGATATTATCTAATTTGGCTGTTTTTGAATTATGGATTTTGGTTTTTATGAGACAAATAAAATTGTTCACTTTACTTCATGAATCCAACAATATATTTGCAAAATGTGATATTTAAGAACATTTTAAGAGTTGTAAACAAGATTAACATTGAAAAAGAAATGTTTATGGATTTAAAAACCAGTATAAGTAATTAAGTCAAATCATTTCTGTCTAACTTCCTGCTTAACAATAGATTATAGAGCCTCAGAACTATTTTAAATTAAAGTATTGTGTTTCCTTCTTAGTAATGTTCTCGATAAATAATTTTTTTGATGAAAATAAATATTGGAATTACTACAAGCACCAACGGGCATACATTAAGGGTATGAGCAAAGGATCAAGAAACCAAGTCCATGACTGTCAATGAGAAATTAAATTATTTTCTTTGACCACTATATAATAATATATTTTGCAAAGTTTATTTTTGTAAATAAAGAACAGTTTTGTATTGCCAAAGGTATTTGCTCTTTTATACAGAACAAGATGTGAATTATATACTCTTATTTGGATCTATAACAAAACCAGAGTTAAACAAATCATAGAACTAATCATCAAAAAATTTAGAGTATATTGGTGTGTCCTAGATCATAATAAATAACTCAAAATTAAAATAGATAAATCGAAAACAGAAATCTATTAACAATAATCAAATATTATTTTGAAAAGTAGTCCGACAAGATAATTTAAACATATATTTCAAATTTTGGCTTAGCCAATACTTTATACTTTCAACTCAAAGAAATTCGAAGATTGAGCCACCATTTATATAATTGTTAATTTATAAAATAACTTTAAAATGTATTATAATTAAAATCTTGCATTTGAAGTATTAATTTAAAATTAGCAAATTAGTATACCAAAAATTATTTGTCGGATCTTTATGAAAGGATCAATTTTAAATGCAAAATAACATAAAACCGAAGGATCAATTCCCATTATCGAAAACAACTAGGCAAAGGCAGTTTATTAGTTTCGTCGATCTCCTTTTTTATTATGAGGTTAAAAAAAGTTAAAAGATTTAATTAAAAAAGATTAATAGATTGACCATACAGTTATTCATTATTCATATGTAAAAGATGTTTGGTTTGAAAATTTTGGATTAAGAGAGATTGTTAAAGCAATATAACAAATAAAATAAAATTTTTAAAAGTTAAGAGTAGGTATATTGTATTAGACAATTGTAATGAGGAAAACTATATACTAAATATTTTCAAATTTTAGCTAAACAAAATGCAAATTTTATAATATGAAACCCGCGCGTAGCGCGGGATAACACCTAGTGATTAAAAAAAGGTTCATGCAAAGATTATATTAAAAGTTGGATGTTACATAAACACCACATCTAAATTTTAGAACCCAACACGTGTCGATGTGTGGGTAAGTGACGGTTTGAAAAAAGGAAAAAAAGAAACAAAATCACTTCGAACAGTATTTCGTAATAACTCCAGTAGAGGTTCCACCGATGGAGAAGGTAAAATTTAAAATCCAGTGAAAAGCTTCTTAACAACCTTTGATTGAAATATATATTAAAAATTTTGCTAAAAACCCAAATTGTGGTTTTAGGATGCCCTGAGAGGGACATGAGATACTGAAATGAGATGTATTTTCGTGGGTCCATTTAATTTTTGGATATATATATATATATAAGTGATAACACGTACACTTGTGCGAAACCTCTTATCGAGAGAATATGAAGGATATAACTGCGAAAAAAACGAAGTTTCATCAGAGTAGTACGTCTCCTATAGAGTAGAGACGTAGCCCGAAGTGAGGTAGTCTCTTTACAATCTTTGCCTGTATCTATTCGTAAAGGATTTGTGTCACTCTCTACAAAATATAAACGTTTGCATGTTTATCTCTTTCAAGAATTTGGTGTTTACTTCTTATTGCATTTCAGTACTGTCGGCTATGGGATAGTTTGTACATTTTGATGCAAAAAAATGGGGAAAATTTTCCGGAAGAAACTGATATGCAGCCTGGCCGTTGGGATGTGTTTACTGTTTAGGGGCCAACGTGAGACATGATGGCTCATTTATTTTGGATATTATCTTACAAACTAGGCCCCCATTTTCGAGCAACAAGGCTTCATAGACCCCACCGTTTTCCCTCCTTCTGAACCACATGATATATATGTTCATGTTTTTCCACGAGATTTATTTTGAATGTCATTCTCGTTCGATCTCCCCATTTTCTTGGTCAGCAATGTTTGTGCACTGTAAGCCTTGCTATTCATATTATGTTGTGGATATGGTTTATATAATAGTCAATTTCGCTACGTTTTGTTTGTTCGTACTTTCAAGTTATAAATATTAATATTGATCGAACAAATACATCATGCATGTAGTCTATGCTTAAATATTCATTGAACTGAAATCAATATTTGTATATCGGTAATATTTGTATAAAAGAGGTAACAAAACATTTCTCAAACTTTTGGTCCTTTAGCATATATAGGCTTACACACTCTATATCTACTTCTCGAAACAGTGTGCACATATAATGTTTCCATAATGGCAAAAATCGTAGTGAAAGAATCAAGATTCCAGACGAAATATTTATTAGGATAAGCTAGAGATTGGATCGAATTACACTTTGTAGCCCACTATAGTCCACCGCTGCAGGCCCAGAGCATGAAATCAACAACATGTTAAAAGACTCATCGTCATAGGGGTAAAAAAATCAACATAAGTCGTATAGCACGAAATTGAGATCCATGATCTTAAATATCATCTTACTTTCACAAGAATACTGTATCAGATTACCCCTCAAGACCCCGACAAGAATAGTGTATTCCACATTCACACCAAAATGTTTTGATTTACATTTATTCTCGTTGCAAGTTTGTAACTATAAGGAAACAAACAACATGACTTCATCAATAAACCTAAGACAGCTTTAGGAGTCTGAAAACGCACGAGATCTAATTGAGAGTCTGGATTCTTTATAAGAAAACATGCATCCTAATCAGTCGTTCGAATAATTTTAGGAAAAAATATCATGAACTTGTATCCAATAGTCTGGATTATTACTTCAGTATTTTGCATAAATTATACTAAACCAACCAAAATTAAGCTTATCATAAATGTATTATGTCCTTCTCAAAATACAACTACGGTAAAACATAAATGGTTTTTTTATAATAAAAAAGCATCGCAAGTTTTAACATGTAGAATATTGGGAAACATTTTCCAGGGGATAATATAACTTTCCAGGGGTCAAAAGAGGTTGCTAACTTAATTAAGTGGTGGATATGGCTTTGCTCTTGATCATCACGACCTTCTTCTTCTTCTTTTCTAAAGCTTTGCTCTTGACCTTGTAGTGGAGTAATCGCATCTTTGAACTTACTCGGAGCTGCTTAGCTATGCTGGGTCAGGTGAAAAAACATTCGTGAGCAACAACCACCATCACCAACTAGGGATGTTAAAATGAGCCCCCTTTTAGACCCGTGCGTTTAAATTTATGCTCATTCAAGACACATTTACATCAAACCTGTAAGGACCAACTTGATTATTTTATTTTTTCTAAAATTTATTTATTCTAACGTATTTCTTAATACAATACCAGCAACCACAACACCAATCACCTTGTAATTATCTTTTCCAAACATAAAAGCAGAATCTCAAGATAACATAATGATCTAATCAATTAGTTTTAAAAAATATGCACCAAAAAGAACAACTCTTACGAGAAAAGCTGGCATGGGACTAAATGCAATAGCAGTAACAGTTCCAGTATGGAAACTGGTAAGCCATCTGGCAGTACAAAACTCCAGATGGGTGAAGTCATCAAGGAGGCTAATGTATAGAAGTCATAATGTAGAAATATACAGAGGACGATACAAGAAACTTACAACGCCGATCACACAATCATTTGATGCGGATGCTATGGAAGTGTTGTTCCAGTTCATCCAAATGATTAGTATCTTATTTAGAAACGAAATATGACATCAACATTGTTGATAACCTGAGTTTGAAGAATGTAGACAAGAAAACAACAGTAATGAGAAGAAGAAAATTAGTAAATGAAAACAATGAAAATTAGAAGAAGAAGAAGAAGAAGAAAACAACAGTCATCAACAGCAAATAAAATCTCGGATGTTACTAATGGTATTATTACTAGCAGTGAGAAGAAGAAAACAGTGAAATGAATCAGTAATTTGATATAAATTTTTGCCACAGGGCTGTGCGTTTCTCAATATTGTGACATCTACTAGTATCTGCTACGCTAGAACACGGACACTGATGCAACTACTTGGCTCAAAATGCACGTGCTGCTTTTTGGTAGATACTCTGTTTTTGATTATGATGATATATTCGCCTGAACTCGAGCTCATTTGAACCTCTTCAAAAGAAGTAGAGAAAGCAGGAATAAGCTTACCTCTTCTTCAGCATGACCAGAGCAAGTACAATTGGGGCCCCTCAGATATTGCATACAAACTCAATGGGGGCTTCCCTTGAGGCGGTTTGGATTTGAGGACTCTGCTTCCAAGTGTACTCTCTCTCTCTCTCTTGATGGCGTCTAAAGAATCTAATAGCTTTCCGTTCACAACATCCCATGCAGACTTGAAATCACTCACAACATCCGTCTCCCTAAATTCAGGGCATAGAAGAAAGGGGATGTGTAAATACACAACAGTTTTCTGTATCATTTCCTTACAGCTATAGAGACTTCGGCCCTGTTTGTTTTCTCAGCTCTCATTTCCATCTGGATGTTGTTCGTTACATTTCATCTTCATCTAAATGGAAATGAGAGCTAAGCAAACGAACATTACATTACTGATCCATCTGAATACTTACAATGCAAAATTACTAAAATACCCCTATTTTATTATCTTATCATAGAAATTGATTTTGAATGGAGAACACAAATCTGATTCGTGTAAACAAGATTTGTAATCCATTCAGACATAGATCTTAAAGCGGATTCAAGTCACCAAAACAAAGTTCAAATGACAGATCAACGTATAAACAGAAAAAAAACCTGTTTCAGCTACAAAGAGTAATGAGCTACGTTGTGAGCAGAAAACATCTGGAAAACATTGGTAGTGTAAGAGTAATGAGTATCGTAGTGAATAATAATCAAAGAAACTTCCAGCAACAAAGCATGATGCCACCACTACTCTAGTCAAAACAAAGGAAGAGATATCCCACAAGAAATGATTCTTGCCCCTTCTCTAACTCTGAGCAAAAGGATCCACTGAAATCCCAGAGAGCAAGCAAGAAAATGAAAACTTACTTTTTTCAACCTCAATAGACTGATAGGACATATCTATCACAACTCTTAAGACTTGCATTAGCTACACCAATTTTTATGACCGGCAAGACATAATAATCTGCTTTCTAAACAGAAGTAACTTTTCGAAAAAGAGGAAGCAATACCTCGCGTAGCCACAGCCATTTCTCTCTTGCCGGTGCGGAGGGCATCTACGACTACATATATAAGAAATGATCGTCAATAGAATCAAAACCAGAATTGGAGCATGTGAAGAGAAACACAAGATCACTGAAACGTGTATTGAATCAGGGTAAGTATAAGTAACTAATTAAAGCTAAAAAACACATTGACTACATTGTCAGATTTTAGCACATTGTAACTGAAAGGTGACAATTTTGGATTTCTCAAAATTAAATCAGAAATAGAAACGGAGATGCTAACTTGAAGAGCAGCTAGAGCTAGTAACGTGAACTTTGAAGCTTTAGAACTACCTAATTTCTTGATGAATCCCATTGACATGCAAGCTCAAGAGAGATAGACTAGAAACAAACAATGAGAAATGATCTCCAAAGATTTAAGCAGCCAATGTTTAAGATACATATCTAAATATATCAGAAGCTTCAAATTAGCAAAAAATATACCCATACTCCAGAAAAGACAATAATTCCATTAATGACATGTAGACAAGAAATTTCTAAATGAACATCAGTTGTAAACTTCAGCCATAGAATCAGCTAACTGAGCAAACCAACATCGCCTTAATTACAGCTCTGGAATCTTTTCAACTGAGTACTACTCTTACCTACCGGAAGATTCCCAAGTTCCAACATCTGGAGTCTGGAGTCTGGACTCTCCGGAGTTTTGAATAGGGATAACACCAGCCATATATGCAACGAGTATAGTGGCCATCAGGAGAAGTTGGTCGCCGATAGGGACCCAACCGGAACCAGCGAGTAACACCATCAAAATCTGCCGGAGATGCCAAGCAATTGCCCAGCCATTGGTAAAACCATAGAACTCACGACTAAAACATGCCTAATCGATCCCCGAGCCCAATCACTACATGACCAGAAGAAGGAATTTAGAATTGAATTCCAGAACCTAATTGCAACAAAGCTTAGCAGTGAGCTTGTATATAGGACACTGCATTTGCGTTTTGAATCCCGTTTTAGCGCCACGTTACATACGGCAAACTAGCAGCTTCCACTTTGCAGTGTCAAATGTTATAAGAGAAACAGTAAATAAATTCGCTTTTCCCAACGAAATGAAAAAGGAAACCAATCTGCATTGAGATTCAAGAGTCAAACGGGCGATAATCACATGAACTAGAAGGAAAACTAGCGAACAAACCAGAAGCCAACAGTAACAAAGAGAGGTGGAGGATACGCAAAGAGGAATTGAGAAAAGAGACGAAACGGGCTGGGGTTGCAAGAGTTTCTGTCAACACATAGTCATACATATCAAATTTGCGGGTTGCGGCGGATCAGAGTGTCTCTGATGGATTCGATCCTTGGAAAAGAAATTGAAATGGCAGAGTGTTTTGTTTGCAGCTATAATTATATCAAGGAGACAAATTAAGACAAGGGGGACTTTATCAGACAAAAGATTTCTCAACAAGGTTTTTTTCAAGACATAATTAGAGTGTTTTCAGTTACAAAACATAAATGAGATTGCTGACTTAATTAGTTAGGTGATGGATTATACGGCTTTGCGCTTGATTATCACGACCTTCTTCTTCTTCTTCTTCTTCTTCTTCTTGTTTTCTAAAGCTTTGTGCTTGTAGCGGAGTAATCGCATCTTTGAACTTGATCGGAGCTGCTTCGCTATACTGAGAAACGTGAAAATTTAAAACATTCATGAGCATCAAAGTAACAAACATCACCATCCATATCGAGCTATTGCTTAACTGATATACGCATTAGCTAGAGATATCTAATCAAAGTAAATGGAGACCTTGATGGAGGCAAGGAGGTAGTACTAGTAACAGGAGACGACACCATTTCCTGCTACAGAGATATATAACAACTTGCCAGTAAGAATTAAGAAATCAAATCAATAATGAAAGGGGATACAAGCGACTAAGTAGATCAATAGAATTAACCTGAGTTGTATCAAGTTCAACAGAGTCAGGCGTGGCCTGCAGATACTGATCCGATCCTTTCAAATCATCAAGTCTCTCATCATCTGATGCCATACGGGCAGAACAAGCTTGCAGTGAGGCTTTGGAACCTAGTTCTTTCTTGACGCCAGCTGACTGTAAGGCCAATCTGTATATGAGCCAGCAACAACAATCGTTACACATTAGTTAAGCTAGAGAGATCATATCAAAGTAAGTGGACACCTTGATGACGACTGATCAGGCATGGAGATGGAGTAAGTAGCAGCATCATCAGGCGATATCAGAATCTGTAATAATGTTATGTGATTAATTAAGAATCAAATTAATGAATAATAAGCGCCAATGAACAAGAAAGTAAATAACCTTGTCATGCAAGCCCAGATTCTTCTCCAATTCATCCATTTTCTTCCTGTACGCCCGGGGACACCTAAGGACGTATTCAGATGGTCTATCATCTCTGATACCTAGTTGCTCTCTTCTAAATTTTCGATAAGATGAACTCCCAGTTAACCTTGTTGGATCACGATTCCAGGCAAACATTATTGCTGTGGCCTCCTCCTAGACTCTCTGGGGACGCCGGGAACCCTAGCTGCTTTTATATATATATATATACCCAAGTTATCGGGGCCTTACCCAAAGGTTTATACTAATAATAATGATCTAGCCGCCCAGATTATTATTATACCCTAACCACGGTTATTCTTCTTCTTTTGGACCTGTACCAAATACCAACTACAGTACATGTTATACACGTAATAACTACATTAACTGTAGATAGTGTTTTGATAGTGTTATCATCTTTTTTTTTGGGTTTTAGTTAACCATCAATATATATATATATATATATATATATATATATGTTATGACCTTTCACATTTCTACGAGAAAAAAAAACAATGCAAAACAACGAAACTTTTATATCAAAATATAGAAAAAATCCTTCACAACCTATTAGTGTAAAAACGTATATAAGCATGAAAGAAATTTACATCATCTCAAACATTTTCCGGGGGATTAAAGAGGTTGCTAAATGAATAATTCGGTGGTGGATATGGCTTTGCGGTTGGTCATCAAGAGCATCTTCTTCTTCTTTTCTAAAGCTTTGTAGTGGAGGAATCGCATTTTTGAACTTGATCAGAGTCACGCATGGCCTTATACTGATCATATGGGATAGTTTCCGTACGGGCAGAGCAAACTGGCATCGAAGCTTTAGAGCCTAGTTCTTTCTGTGAGGCCAATCTGTATATGAGCAGCAACAAGCCAACAACAAATATCCATCACCATCCTCTTATATATATACACATTAATTAGCTAGAGAGATATAATCAAAGTAAATGCACACCTTGATGGCGACGGATCAGGCATGGAGGAGGTACTTGTAACACGATCCGACAACTTCTCCTGTAATAGCATATATATAAGTTTTTTGATTAAGAAGACAGAAATTTCTCAATTGCAAAGGTGAAGATTAAAAATAAACTATAGGTCATATAACCTGAGTATCAGATTTACGAGAATCACGCATGGCCTTATACTCATCATGTGTGAGGACTACCACCCTGTATATGAGCGACAACAACAACAATCATCATCACCATCTTCACACACACACATTAATTAGCTAGACAGATCTAACAAAAGTGAATGTATACCTTGGTCGAGGAGGCCGATCCGACACCTTTTTCTGTAGTATAAATAAAAAATAAAAAATTGTGATTTAAGAATCAAATCAATGACAGAAATTTCTCAATTGCAAAGGCAAATCGGAAAAAAAATAAAGTAAATCATAACCTGGTCAAGCAAGGCCTGTTTCCTTAATAGTTTCCTGACCTCACGGCCAATCGGACGACGACGTTTAGGTTTCTTATGGTTGTGTCTTCTTGGCTTGCCAGGTTTATCACTCAACATTATTGCTGTGCCTCCTAAACACACGCTTGGCGACGCTGAAAACCCTAGCTGCTTATATATATACCCAACCTAATTGGGCCTAACATGAGAAACTGATTTAACTTCAAATTTATGTTTTACCTATTTCAGTTACGATCAAAGATGTGTGATTCCTATCAGTAGTTGTATTTTAGTTTTATGTTTTGATTATTTCCAAGTTTTATGTTGTAAGATGTAAGTGATGCTTTCTTACTTAGATATTTGAAGTCATAAGATAGATTTTGAGAAATTCTTGAAAACATGTTTCCTAACCGGCCTTCCCAGCATACCAAAATTATCATTCTGGTAGTAGGTTAGATTCATATTTCAAAGATAAATCTAAAATTTAAATCTAAAAAAACTATCTATTTGACATTCAATTTCATTAATATTTAACTTCACCCTAAAAAAAATCTGAATCAATGCTAAAGAAGTTTTCATATGATTCAATTCAGTTTCTAGTAATTTCACATATCATTGAATGCACATGTTTGATGTGCTAACAGTTTTCATACGTAGTAAAAATGTGCAGTTATGAAATATACACTATAAAATGTTACAATTCTTACTTAACTTATGCATTGTCTTAATGAGTATGCGTTAAACTGATTTCATGAGCGAGGCTTAAAGCCATTTCACAACCTAAGAAACGGCGCCATTTTGGCTGCCTCTAGTTCGACTGAGGACGACGACATTGTGTGTTCCCTTTGGTCCGTCGTTGGTTTCACTCTCTACTCTGAAAGCAAAATCAGAGAGAAAAACAAGAGCATTAGTTTTATATAGTTTTAATTGAAGACAAAAGGAAACTTAATCTCCAAAAATCTTGCTTAGTTTCTTTCAATGTAAAATTATCGTTTTGTCATTACTGAATCCAAGTCACTGTTAAAATTTAATTCAATAAAAATCCTAAAATACAACCAATAAGAATGAAGAAAATATGGGCCAATCAGAATAGAGAGCTAAAAATTGGAAATCAACTCCTGTGAGTTTTTTTTTTCTTCTGGAAATCGAGCCGCCGCCAAATCAAGCTCGATTCTACATGTGGCATTTTGATTTTTTTGGGTCCAATATGCGACACATGACATTTTATTTCTTTATATTTTAATATTTTCTATCAAATTTACATATAGTTATAACCAAGATGTCAATTGTACTCCTCTATAAATAATTGTTAAATACGAGTTAAAACTTATATGTAGTTGTACTTATTTTACTTTTCATAGTTTTTTTGTTGTACATGTAAAAATACATAATATTTTAACCTTCTCTATGGAATGATATAATCAAATTCTTATATTATGTTGTAAGTATCTTTCTCATCTTCATATGGTGTTTGTTAACAAATTAGCCAGGTGGATATGGTTAACTCTTAATGATAATAAAAAAATATTCAACAAAACTATTTTTATTAGATAAATAGATTATAAGTTATCTTTTATTTCCGTTTTTCTATATACACTTTATTACTTTTTTTAATACATTCAATTAATTACACAATCAAAAATGAAATTATACTCATGTTTCCTAGTTTGATCAAGAAAATTGCTAGATTAACACATAACATAAAGTGGTATTCTAAAGAAATTGATTACTATAATGATGAAATCCAATCCATATTTACAATGATAAATAATCCAAATAAAGGTGTTTGAAGAAGAAAACAAATATCACCATTATCTCCTCTGTTTCTTTCCCAGTATTTTAACATTCCATGTTATCAGATGCAAAAAACTCAATGATTTTTTCTCCATAAGAAACCTCCTCACTTGCCAACAAGACGCTGATACGACAGCGTCAGCGCCACTATCTTTTTGTATCACCAGAAATCCAATCGAAGAATGTATGCATTATGACCCAAACTGACCAGAAAATCGCAAACGAGGTAAAGGTGGTAAACCTCAATCCCAGTTTTTCAAGCAAACCTCGTCACTGATCATCATTATCCACATTCCATCTCAATTAAATACTCTTTCTTCTCTGCAACTAATCTCCACAAACAAAACCTCAATCCCAATTTTTCAAGCAAACAAACTACACAAAAAGCTACAGTAGATGAAAGAGTCACTCTCATGAATTTGATTCGGAAGAATGTGAATGTGAAAGAGCTAGACGAGACAAAAGAGTCACTTTCATGAGTTCGATTGGAGTCATCCTCAATTACAATCTGATCTGTCCTAACCCGGACCCGATCGTTGACATTGATAATCGCTTAGATGTAGTTTTCACCATTCTCTTGCAAGACCTGATCGGCGGTTTCTACGTGTGCTTTCCGTCGTCTGCTCACAAGATATATTGAATTTCTGAGATGGATATCGATCAATTCTCAGATTTTGCTCCAATCAGCGAACACCTTTCTTTCTCCTTTATCATTCGAAAATTAATTGAGAGAAGGAAACATGAAAGAGAACTAAAAAAAAGAATTTTATCCAAAAAAAAATGAGAACGCAGGGAACGAGGAAAGAGGGATGAACACAGGGGAAGAAGGATTCGACCCAGAAGAAGGATTCGACCCGACTATGTGTCTTTGGGCGGGTAATATATTGGTTGGGTCTGTAATATCGTTAAGTTAGTAAGGTTATAATGTCATTTAATAATTGCTTTGGATTAAAAGAGAATGGTTAATAATTTACGAGTTGGGTAAAAGAGTTTGGTTTAACTCGCACAAGAAGACCACAGGAGCCATTTGTTCCCAAACCCAGAGAGAAAAACAACCCTAAATCGCCAAAAGGGGAAACGGAGATTTCGATTCGATTTGATTCCGGTAATCGCAGATGTCGTCGTCTTCTCCAAGTGAAAGCGGTGGCGATTTGACTGAGCGAAGAGGTATTCCTGCCGCCAAATTCATCCAAGATGTCGAGACTTATCTCTCTCAGTCCGGCCTCGATTCCAACTCCGCTCTCGCCTTCCATCAAGAAAGGTTTCTCCTCTCATTTCTCGTTTAACTCTTAGGTCTCCGCATTCATCTTAGCTCAATCCCAGATCTCCTGTGCTAATTTATGCTCATCACTTGTGATTCTGAATAAGCTTGAACTTCGTACTCTTTAGTGATTTCATTTCCGTGGGATTCTGTTTTTCAGGCTCCAGCAATACAAAGTTGTTGATATGAAGCTTCTTGCTCAGCAAAGGGATCTTCAGGTGCACTTCTCCTTTCCCTTTTTTTTTGTTCCTTCACGCTTTTTTGAAGAGAGGTCCTTTCGAGTTGGATGTTAATTTATGATGGTTCAAGTTATCTTTTTAATTAATTCACTTGTTGCTATCTTATAGTCTTGATAAAATGGGCAGGCTAAAATCCCAGATATTGAGAAGTGCTTGGAGGTTGTTGCCACTCTGCAAGCAAGGAAGGGTACTGGTGAGGTTCGTTGCTAAATTTCAACAATCTCTAGTAACTATACTTATATAGCCTTTACTTCACTGGTTTTGCATAAATGCTGTTCTGTTTTCTTGCTGCTAAGTGCTAACTTTTTGAATCCTGAGTAATTTATATAAGGTTGAACTTGGTTGTGCTTTGATTTCTTAGTTCTTACCGATGTTTGTATGCCAACTTTGTACTGTTGTGAAGATTTTTCCCCTTATCATTGCGCGATTCAGGCTTACCTGAAAACATTTTCTTTGAACCTGATAAGCAAGCTTGCATTTTGAAAATCTGTTTTGAAAATCCGAGGTTGATTGGTTGGAAAGACAATAGGTTTCTGCTAAATCAACATGTGCCTTTGGGCTCTTTTAACGAGTGTCTTTAAGTCGTGTTTGATGGTGACAGTAGAATATGTTATGTCGTGGAACTTAATTCTAGCTTCACTGGAAAAAATCAACTGACAGATAGATTGTAATGAGCTTTTTTTTATATGAAAGTGGCGTTGATGTACAGACTTACTGCTTATTCTTGTGTTCATCATCATCTTTTTGTTCTTCTTCACATGGAGTTTTTCTTACAATGCAGTCGCTTTTAGCCGATTTTGAAGTCTCTGAAGGAATATATTCACGGGCCTGTATTGAAGACACAGACTCGGTGTGTTTGTGGTTGGGAGCAAATGTCATGCTGGAATATTCCTGTGAAGAGGTCCAAAACATTATTCTCTTAGACGTTTTTAAAATTTTCTTGCGCCCGGGGACCATAGAATAAGTTCTTAAAATCTTTCTTGTTCCAACAGGCTACAGCTCTTCTGAAAAACAATCTGGAAAATGCTAAAGCCAGCCTGGAGGTTCTTGTTGGTGATTTACAGTTCTTGAGGGATCAAGTCACAGTTACTCAGGTACAGAGATACTTGTCAATCTATAAGCAGAGTCCTGATTTTCACTAAACATAACTGTATATCTTCAAAGTGCAAAGAACCCAAAATTGCAATTTAGGATGTAGATACATACAGAGATTGAGTAGAAAGTAATTTATCTTTCTTGAGTCTTGATTTGGATTTTTTTGTCGATGGACAGGTAACTATTGCACGTATTTATAACTGGGATGTTCATCAGAGGAGGGTTAAACAAGTTGCCCCTACTGCTATTACTGCTGGAGACTCATGAATCAGAGAGTCGAGCATAATCGTGCGGGCTTGAAGGAGGTAATATGATTATTGCAACACCGTTTGCCCGGAACTGGTTGTTTGTAACTCTTGGTTTTTTGCTATCTAGATGAAATTTTGTTTCTGCAACAATCCTATGAACAGAACATTAATATCGTTTGTCGCTACATATTTGTGGAGTTTTGAGATCAGCTTGTGTTTTCCGAAATTGAAGTACTACTTGTTTAAGGTTGTGATAGTTATATCAAATATTAAATTTGCAGAATCCTGGTGGCCTTGATGAGTTCAGTCGTTATTAGTGTATGATTCTAGAAGCTTAAAATGAGAGATTGCCAAAAAAAATTGTCAAGTTTGGTCTTTACTCAGTTTTTTCTCGGAAACTTAGGTTCGATATTGGTGACGAAGGGTCACGACGGCTTGGCTATAAAACCAGCAAAAAAATGGAAATGACACATGTGCATTTGATATTACGGTCTACCAATTAAATTTGTCTAGTTGCTATAAAGTTTGCTTTTGAAGACAAAATGTAACATCATATGTTTTGTATAATGGTTTAACAAATTGAGAGAGTATTTATAAACATTTTGAGATTTCGAAATCTTTCTCAGTTTCCAAATAAAGAATATTACGTGAGAAACAAAAAGAAGATTGAATAAAGAAAAGTAAATGGAGAAAAGTTTTTTTTTTCTTCTGTTGATGGTTAGGGCTTGAGTTGACCCTTAGAAATAGACCTTTCAATTAATGATGGTCCACATTTCACTTATTGACTTTCACTTATTCTTATCAGTTCATTTCATTTTATTTGTTTTTTTCCAAACATATTTACCCTTCATAATTTGTCCTCCAAAAACCTATGCCAAAATGTTCTACTAAACTACCATGAAAGCATCTATATTAGATAGTGTACACTGAAAACCCGAGAAACCCTATTCTTCTGATGATTGTATACGATCCCGAAATTGATGTATATTGGTGATTGGCTACAAATGGAACAGTTTGGGAATACATGGTATCTTATTTTTGTGAAGAAGAATTATGTATATATGGGTTGATACTTGATAGTGACATGTAAAATGCATTTATACGTCTCCCACAAAAGACAGTTTTTGGTCTAACAACTTTCATATACGGCCATGAACAATTTTCAAACCCTCTTTACATTTCAAAGAAGTTATGATTTCGTTTTTGGTGTTTCCCTATTAAATTCAGTGTTGGATGCATTAGACGTATTTAGGATTCGAATTGACTCACGTTGACTTTCTTATAGCCTTATACGATACTATTGTATATGTAGTACTGAAACGATACAGAGAACAAAAGAACAAGGATTAGCATGATCCATGTAAAAACAATGAGACTGAAAAAAACTAAAAAACCAAATGTTACAAGTTTATATTCTTAAAATAGATTGTAGATATATTTCGTTATCTGAAAACAGGAGAGATGGAGAAACGTACACGGAAAACGAGGGGGATTTTCTATATTTTTTTTATAAAGAAAATGTTTTCTTGGGTTTGGAGAAGCAAGCCAAAGCAGCTGTGTGTCCCCTCAGAGTTATTAAAGTGAGTTTGTCTGTTAGTGACGAATAACGCGTTTTAGGGTTTAGCGTTACAATATTCCATTTTAATCATACATACTCTCTCATCTCTTGACTTTGACTTTTTCTTCTTGTAATCTTCTTGGGACACCACCCTCCAACAAATTAAACTATACGATTAAAAATGGGAACTTTTATTTTATTTTTGGTTTGCATATAGTAATAATAAAAATCAAAATCAGCAAAGCCGCAATCATCGGTAGATGTTCTCACTCGATCTAAAAGAAAACTCCATTTCTTAAGTCAACAGGTTGTTTTCCCTCCTGCATTTTACCCAGGACGAATCTTGACCTTTCTATATTCTTTAATTTACAATAATCGACTACAGATCTACATTGTTTATTTATCGATCCTTATAACCAAATCTAAGCTAGTCTATAATTATTTGGATACCTGATATGTACCAAAATCATATACAAACATGACCACACTTTTATTTATTTAAAGAAAATGGATCAGCGGGATAATAACTTTTATGTTTGAAACCATTTTAGTTTAGTCAGTTGTATTGTTTGGTTTAGGTTGGTATCCAGTTTCTTTCAGACGAATCTGATCACTACTATTAGTTTTTTTTTTCGCTCTCTCAAATCATATAATGTTTCATATAGTATATGCTACAATCTCTCTATGTTAAGTTGATTTGCTCCAAGACAAAAAAGGGTAGGTTTGCTCCTATTCCTATACGAGTTTCATATAATCACCGGCTTCGAAGTCAATGGATACATTTTATATATGCACCTTGTAATTATACGAACAAACACCTGGCTCATTTGGCCTGGACCGACGATAGCTAACTCTTTTGACCTTTATTCTTTTCAGCATGACAAGTGACATGACAGTAATATGTTCAAAACTTTCCAAATTTAATCTTTGTGCATTTCGGTTTTGAATTTGTATCATGGTCAAAGCATATTCTATCAATATATATTGATAATACAGCTGGACATTATACATATACTTTAAATATAGACCAACTAAAATTTGAATCAGATACACTCCAGATATAAATACACGATTAAGTCGGAATAAGTTTGTTTATTCGTTAAAAGGATATAATTAACTGATAAAAAGACAATCAAAGAATCTCTGAAAAAACTAACGTGAGCAGGAATTTAGAATAATAAAACAATTTTTTTTGGCAAGGGCTATATTTAAATTTGCATCGAGGAAGGCATTTCAGAGCGTTGAACCATGGTATGATGGGATTGGAATATCCCTAGAAAACAGTATGAAACAATGAAGCTCAGAATGAAAACAATCAAGATTAGTTTCTATAAAGATACCTACAAAACTTAGATCATTACACTTTCAATCGAAATATGAAGTTGATGATCAGATAATTCGACTTCAGTAGTCCAGTTAAGTGTAAACTTGGGTTGAATAATTGATGGTCAACACCTTTGACTTTTGACCAATTCGTCTTACCACATATTGAAATACATACATATTCTTAGATCTGGTCTCGTGAACTTTAGCAGTTAGCTAGCTATAATCCTGTGGTCAATCATTTACATTTCTTTATTTGTTCGGTTATTAAATACATTTCATATGCATTTCTTTGTTTCGCGGCGATATTGTAACCCTACGATTCAAACTTAGCAAAACCCGATCCCATCTATGTCCCATGTGCACACACATGTATACGACATACATGCTACATATCTAGCATAAGAATATACGTATATTGTTTCGAAAAGTGAGATTAAAGTCAGTAAAGCACTAAAATAGTATGTTTAAAGATATCATATCGAAGTATTAGACCTTTTAGTCTACTAATAGCAATACACTTACTCATATGCGTGTGTGAAAGCTATTATAATTTTAAGATCTTATTTGGCAAATAGTCAAAGGCCAAACTTAACAAAAATAATAATAAAACACGCTACGAACAAAATAAATCAGTACATGTTATTGGGAAAACTAATTATTTATCTATTTTGTTTTGAAAAATCACACACGATAAATAAATAATTATCTGTATGATGAGTTCGTCATTTATCATTTTTACAAATAAAAAGATAAATTTTATATATCTAGTACACATTCTCTGTTATTAGTGATTATAATTCCGTTATAGTAATTTATTATTATTCTTTCTTGTGGAAAAGAATAATCAATACTCCTCTGTCCCATATTATAAGCAGTTGGGCAAAATGAATTTGAAAAAAGTGGATGTATCTAGATGGAATTCAGTCCAGATACATCCACTTTTTTTCAGATTCATTTTGCCCAACTGCTTATAATATGAGACAGAGGGAGTATGTATAGCATAAAAAGGTTTTTGAATAATCAATAGTTGTATAATATAATATGTGAAATTATGTAAGAATTGGAGTGTTTAATCCGGGAAAATGCGATTGTGAATCAGTTTCCGCATATATAATGCATACGTACGGAGATGTTGATATGCGTCTATAAAATACAAAAACAATTAAGAAAGACCGAGTGGTTATTGTGGTAGCAAGTATTGTATTCGCAATTTGGCGATCTTAGTTTTGTTTTTAAGTAAAACGTAAGAAAAGGGACGTGTGTGGACGTACGTCCTTAGTTTGCGGCTACTAACTAAACTTTTACGAGTGGACCATGTCAAACCAGTTTTTATATTGGTGAGATTTGGTATTAAGTCATCCTTTGTGTACATATATCGTCTCAAGACGGTACATTACACACTACGTATTTATTTTTCGTACAGAAAAGCAGTGCACGCTTATGCACACAAAAACCTCACACGTACGTCTGGTACGTAAGCGTGGAATATGTACATATTCAACTCGATTAATGGTAATAATTTGTAAGTATTAACATTAATTTGATCACGCGTTTTCCTCATTTTATCTACTAGAAGTATTGTCGGCAAAGTATGTAATTAATTTAATCATTCATATTGATTATCTAATATCAGTGATTAACCTAACAAGTAGAAAAAAAACCAGTGAACCGTTCACCGTTGTGCGGGGAAAATTAAAAAAGGAGAATGACTTGAGTAGGAAGCAACCGACATGAGTGTAGAGGAAATAAAACAGCTAATAATACCGCGTTAAAGCCACACGTGTCATATAACAGCTGCTTGACATACGATTTTTACAGTGTTTCTGCTTTGGGTCACAAGGGATGGTCGGGTCGGGTCGGGTGGGTCCATGACCATGACACTACATTCTCCTCATACACAAAAGGTTATGTACTGAGAAAAGCGTGTAACCCCCACCTCTCAACAAAAGAATCTTTCAATTTCATTTATACACAAATCGAACTTTTTCTTCTTCTTTTAATAACGTTCGAGGTAAAATCCAATCCGAAACCAAGTTTAATTTTTAATACATACAAACTTGAGTTTTTTCAATAATTATTTAGACATTTACAGTGATTATGTAGTTGATATCATTTGCTTTATGACCTCAACACTTATCGGACAAATAGTTTTGAAATACTAATTTCATGTTTTATAACAGAAGTTTTCAAAAGTGTGACACCTAAAGGTCTTTTTGAGTTCGACTCTCAATGAAAGCACAAGTTATAATATTTTTGACGCTCCTCAAAATAAAAAAAACAGAGCAGAAATTAACAAAACAAACAGATTTATGGTGGAGCATTAAATAGTTAAGGGAGGGATTTGATGACCGATGACTTGTCGGAGAAGAACCAAACTCTCTGCTGACGTAAGCTTTGTGTCAGCTTATTTTCGAAGCTTCTTTCTTACGCGTTTATTCCTTATTTTATTAAATTGTTTTTTCCAACAAAAATTACCTTCCTGCTTTTACTGTTCTCAGTTTATTCAATTCATTAATTTATTAACTCTGGATTTCCATTAATTTTTTGTCTCTTTCTGTTGGTTTATCTCTCACTAGGGCATTTTCTCTTCGTGAAAGTATGAGCTCACTGTTCTCGTTCTTTTCAATTCTTTTTAATACTGTAGTTAGCTTATTATATTTAATAATTGCCGTGGGAATATTCATTTTTCTAGAGAGACTTTTTTTTTGTTAAAGATTTTTTTAGAAAGACTCGGTTTGAAGTTTCAAATTATTGAATATGTTCTCTCACCTTGGTAAATGCGCTCACATAAAAAAAAATGTTATAAACTGCGTGTTATAGTAGTGATTAACTTTAAATAATAGTTGGTGCTTGAAGTGGATCTATATTATTTTTACCAAAAGTTAGTTGATATCTACAAGAAAAAGTTGAGTTAACTATTGCAACCTGTGTGTAATATGAAAAGAATCGGCGACAAGACGTTCAAGTCAAAACAGAATTAGGCGAGAAATGTAAATTTTTATGTCAGGATCAACTGATTTACTTTTCCCGTAACATTTAAAATGGAAAAGACAAGTTGCCGTTAAAAGTTAAAATCAAAGAAAGCCGCGATCCGCGAGGAGCTTAATTATTAAATAAATAAAACAAATAGATAGGCAGTAATCACATGCGGCAGACCCACACCTTTTCGTTTCTTACGTGTCTTCTTCCTTCACGCGCCTTTCCTCCCTCTACCGTTTTCACCGGTTAATCTTGTACAAATATACGCGTTAAAAACAAAAACAATAATTACTATGAGTCCTGTCAAAACCAAATAGTAATTTATAGCGATATGGAAACTATTCAACTAAAAATAAATAGTTGTTACGGCGACTAAAATAGTTTTCTAGATGAAAAACAATTACGTGCTATATTAGAACATGTATGGACAGTATGCTACGTGGCCACGGTGAACGTAATTTTCTACATGGATGCAGTAAATATTAGTAGATTCCACATGAAAAAAAAATGTAAATCAAATGAGAATATGAGAATATATTACATACTAACTCCGTATAGCAACCTCCAAAGCTATTTTCTATGAGCTAGGGTGTTGATGGCCATTATATATTGTACCCTAATCGTTTGAAAGGTTGTTAAGCTTATCAGTAAAAACAAAATGTAACTTTCACATTTGCACCAAAAAACAAAATGTAACTTATATGGAATTATATAAATGGATTATTAGGAGAAGTCAAGTTAGTAAAACGAGAGACCAGATTGTATATATGCCGTTAGGAGACACGACACGATGTGGGAATAAAGAAGAAAAAAAAAACTGAAACGAAGGGACAAAAATTAAATGCCCGGCAGAGGACGGCACCGTCCCGATACCATTCACAACCGTACGCCTCCAACGACCGGCGTTTACCGGTGACTAGTGTTTTTCTTCTTTTTATTAATATTTTAGTTCCGTTTCCTTTTTTTTTTTTAATATTCCTTGCCCGCGTAAATGAGAGGATAGATTAAAAAATAATTATTAAAAAAAACAAATGGGAAACCTCCTAAATCCAAGCTGTTTTCCAGAAGAACCCAAAAACTCCACAAAAGTTATATTCACACCTCTCTCTCCCTCTCTCTTTCTATCTTCTTCTTATCTCAAACAAATCACACAAACCATTACAAAATATAAAAAAACACATAATCACCCAGAAAGCTAAAAGAAAAGTTCTCCTTTTTTTCCTCACGAAATCTCAGAAAATGACAATTATCATTGTATCTCTATAAAGTATCCTCTCACAGATTCCATATCTTCGATTACATGGAGAAGAAAAAAGAAGAGGATCATCATCATCAAGAACAACAACAAAAAGAGACCAACAGTAGCAAGAACACAGATAAGAAGATCGAGCACCACCAAAGTGAACAACAACAACAGCAAATCTCATCATCATCCTCATCATCACACATGGCGAATCTGGTTACGTCATCAGATCATCATCACCATCAGTTGGAGCTAGCTGGGAACAGCAACATGAATCTCTCAAGCATCTTCGACACTCCATCTTTACCATTTCCTTATTCTTATTTCGAAGACCAATCCTCTAATAATCCCAATTCTTTCCTCGACTTGCTCCGACAAGATCATCAGTTTGCTTCTTCCTCTAATTCCTCTTCCTTTTCATTCGATGCCTTTTCTCTCCCAAACAACAACAATAACAACAACCTCTTTTTTACGGATTTGCCCTTGACTCAACCTTCAACAACAAAGGCCGAGTCATCAGAAGTTGTGAACACAGCACCGACATCTCCAAACTCAACATCAGTCTCTTCTTCCTCCAATGAAGCTGCAAATGATAATACTAACAAGGAGGTTACTGTTAAAGACCAAGACCAAGGACAACAACAGGAGCAAAAGGGTACTAAGCCACAGTAAGTTATAATTATAATTAACATTCCTTCCATTTTAATATCTATAGAGTTTTTGATGTTTGAGTTGGATTTTATTAATTATTGTGAATAAACTTGTTTTCTAATTAAGGTTGAAGGCAAAGAAGAAGAACCAGAAGAAAGCAAGAGAGGCTAGGTTTGCATTTCTCACGAAGAGCGATATTGATAATCTTGACGACGGTTATAGGTGGAGAAAATACGGCCAGAAAGCTGTCAAAAACAGTCCTTATCCCAGGTAATATATATTACTCTGTATATATTGCAGCCCTAGCTATATATGCATCTGTGTTTACATATACTTACATATGCGTATGTAAACATAAACTTCACTAGATCACAAGGATCATCTACATTTTCTATATATTGTATACTTTACGTGTTCATTCAAATATTCATATAACACACCATATATGTATGTGTAGCTAGTCATCGTATACATGTTCAATAACATATGTAGGTGTGTGTGTGTGTGTAGCGTAGCCCTAGATTCAGTGAGCTCTATGCAGAGTCTATATGCATGTAACATGACTCTAGTCATATTTAATACATGTTCTTCTATATTTGTTCACTATGTTTATATATATATATATATATATATATATATATATATATATATATATATATATTAATGACTGTATATACCTAATACGCGTGTGTGTAGGGTCCAAAATGTTTGAATTTTCGTTTCCAGGAATATATTTTTATTTTGTTCCATTCCATGAGGTTTCTGTGTTTTTGTGTCTTTATTCCCTTGATTTATGTTGCTTGTGTCGGAAGATTTCTGCTTCATCTTGTTCAAAACTTCATCTCGGATCTCGAAATCTTCTCTCTTCCTCTTCCTTTCTTCAAAATTTCAAAAGAAAAGAGTTCTCAAACTAGATCGCATTAATAAAACCACAATATTATAACTCGCTTTGTAAATGTACTACAGAATATTTATTAATATAAGTTATTTAAATGTGCAGGAGCTATTACCGTTGCACCACAGTGGGTTGCGGTGTGAAGAAGAGAGTAGAGAGATCCTCCGATGATCCTTCCATCGTCATGACAACCTACGAAGGTCAACACTCTCACCCTTTCCCCATGACGCCACGTGGACACATCGGAATGCTTACGTCGCCAATCCTCGACCACGGTGCAACCACCACGTCATCGTCATCATTCTCTATCCCTCAGCCACGCTACTTGCTGACTCAGCATCATCAACCCTACAACAGCATGTACAACAACTCTCTAAGTATGATCAACAACAGAAGCTCCTCCGATGGCAGCTTCGTTAATCCAGGGTCATCATCATTCACTGGGTTTGGTTATGATATGCCACAAGCTTCTACTTCAACTCCTCCTTCAACTAGAGATCATGGCCTGCTTCAAGATATTCTTCCTTCGCAAATCAGATCGGATACTATTAACATCCAAACCAAAGAAGAAGATAAGAAATGAAAAAGTTTTTTTTACCCGAGGCAATTGTTGTTTTTTTTTTTGCTGGCCGGATTCGGTTGATAGGTTTTACGACGAGTTTTTGGCCGGTTTAGATAATTAAACCGATATTTCTGGCTGGCTTTCTAATGTTTTTTTTTCTTCATCAATATTTAGCATCGGTTTTTGATTCACCATGAACAAAACAACCGACGCTAACTAGATACAGAGGTTTGTAGAATATGTGAAATAGATATGACTTCATTTTTTGTTTGATTATTAATAAAAATGTATCTTTATTTTGAAAGACTACGGTGAGAGGAGGTTTAATGGTTATCTAGGAATATATTTGTGTTTGGAGTTTGGTTATATTATAGAGCTAAGTGTTGTTTATTTTGTGTATGATTATATAGGAGTACGTATTGTTTATTTTGTTATCATGCTATCAAATCACTAGTCCGGCGCCTCTCACTTATTGAAATCTTACATTTTTTCTTAAATACAATGCTATTTTTTTCTTGAATGTAGCTAAGACAAAACAAATACGTACTAGTGATACAATGCTATTCAAATCACATATTTTCCTTAAGATACAATGCTAAAACAAAACAAAAAAATTCACACAAAACAATACATATGAATGTTCGTATGCTCACTTTGCATATATAGTTTACATCACAATATCTACATACATATAATTACTTTTCGGAAATGGTGACAAAAAGCCTAAATAAGAACCACTTCAGATCTAATTAGTCATACATATATATGGCCGCTAATTAAATGGTACCTTTTTGGTATGCATATAAAACTATATTCATTCATATTCATTTTCATATAAGAATTAAATTAAGAGAGAACTTTTGGCCTTAAACTCAAAGTCTCTTTTATGTTATAGTCTTTCTTCGCTGCGACTTTTGTGTTAGTCTTCAATCATCACAGTTAATATTCAAAAAGACTTTGAGATTAATAAGCACACTGTTTGTGTCTACATGCGTACATCTTGACCCACCCATTAGTTGTAGATATGGCCATATGGACCATATTTCTAACATGATCAACATCATTTCTTTATTTATCTTTTTTTTCCTTCTCTTTTTTTGGTAAAATTATTATTTTTCCTTAACCAAATCCAAGCTGTAATGTAGCATAAACTTTTTTCAAGTATTTAATTACAAGATACAAATAAAAGTAAACTGAATTGTTAAGGTATGTACGTAATTATATTTGTTAATGAGTTTTATAGGACTCGGAACCCTTTGACATTAGTTAACAACCACAAACCTAAACCCCCCGACACACAGATATATGTATATATATATATATGTATCAATCATAAAGTAAATGCATGGAACTATATATGTGTGCATATATGCTTTAGGTCTTTTTCAGGAAGCCGATAGCTACGCAAGTGATGTATGGCTGATATTAAATATAAAAGTAAATGCAAAAAGCATAGAGTTAGTAATGTCCATAATGGACTGTCTTTTAATCACTAAAAAAATAGAAACAGAAGGAGTTCTAACAGGCTACTCATCAACCCTACTCCATCACCAACTAAGTATCAAAACAAAGCATGCTTTGTATATTATGGAGAGTTATTACCAATCAATGTGTTTCTTTAATCGCACCACTCCCGTAAAGTTACACATATACATATACATACACTGACAGTCACATACACGAGTATATACGTATTCATTAGTCTCGTAGTTTTTTATTGGCACCGGTTATGCTAGGGTATCTTAAATGGTGACTGTAAGATAAATTCAACGAGTTTGAATAGTGAATCAAAATTAAAATTGATTTAATAATTATAATTACTGAGCTAGATTTTTTGTAAATTTCAGAAAGTGATTAGTACGGTGTTTTTTTCTTCGAAATAGAGGTACTAATCATTCCATATAAATTTTCTTTTTTCTTCCTAACTTAGGAAAAGAAAGCACAATATGTGTCAAATTATGCGTGAAATATTGACTGCTCGTAAATCATGACGATTTTCTTCTTCTTATTTTCGTTGAAGTAATTATTTAATTAACGTCTCAAAATACGATCTAGAACCACTAGTTGTCAGAATTTGGTTTTAAATTCTCCAAATGTAGTGTGGTAAACACAAGGCAAGCATTTTAATAAGGAGGTTTCTGTAAGCACACTTTGGTAAATCATTCAACAAAGTGGTTGTAATCTAGTGGTGAGATTTCAGGATGAGAAACGTAAATTGAGAAAACAATACGTGAACTGTAAATATGTGTGTGTGTTGTATATGCAAATACATTTACGTATTTGTGGTGTACAAGGAACTGAGGAAGATAACGAAGTGGGTTTGGCCACAATCACTTAGTTATCATCAACTTATCATCATCGCAACTCACAATATTTAAATTATAATTTTCGTCACCTGCTCATGATTGGGTTCATAATGTTACTAACTGCAACAAATTTTGATTAGTTTATAAACATCTCTACAATTCAGTGAAAATATGGGTTTAGTTTTCTTAGTTCGATATTTAGAGAATATGGTTCATGTTGTGAGATTAATAAACTGAAAGAGGAGTACTCAATCTTCTTATTATAATATATATTCAGTTTAGAGAGATGTATAGGATGACTTAAAGATAGTAAAATAAGGAGTACTAAAAAATGATAGATAAGACTGTAAGACTCGGTTTTCCAATATTGTCTACTACAAATTATCGTATCTATTTTATTTCATAGCCGCCAAGTCATGTTCATTCAATCAATCTTTGGTTTGATCGTGGATTAATGGGATTTGAATTTGACAATTTTGTTTTGGCATTTTCCCCGCAATTTGCATTTGATTTAATTATATATATTTTGTTGTGGCTATCATCACGTATTTACGTATGCGAATATAATTTTTTTTCCTGTTCTGGAAGTTACACGTTGTACGATATTTTTGGTTAATATTAACCTTACATAGAGATTTTTTTCTTTCTTCTAATTATATAGTTTATTAGATTTTTAAACTCAGCATTAAAACAAAAATTATACTCGAGCACGAATTGTATGCGAACTCTAGCTCTTATAAACTTTATCAAAAAAAAAAACTCTAGCTCTTATAAACATACCATTTATTTAATATAAAAAACCATAGCATTCAAAATATTTCATATTTGTGCTTGTGGAGAGCATACAAAATCTTTCCTAAATGCCTAAAACCATACATGCTATCTTCAGTACCGGCCTGAAGAAGGCCCAATCTTACGATTAATCTGTAGTTTTCAAGAAAATAGCAAAACAAAAGAATTTGACCCAAACTTGACGTTGGAACCCGATAACGATATTTTTCAAACTTTTAGACCAGCTAACTCTAGCAACTTTTCAAAATGGCCTAAAAAACCTATAACACAACTTTCCAACAGCTCCTTACACCGACATTTTTAAACTTTTCAATGATCATGAATTTAGAAGAAAGGATGATTCACATTTAAAAATGGAATGATAGTTACGTACTATACTTGTGACAAAAAGAGATATACGTACTATAATACCAAAATGGAATGTTAGTTACACGTACCACCAAAATGTAGTTGCAACCACTCAGATCTGTATTTTCTTCACAAAAACACAGATGATATAGTGAATTTAAGAACTTGGATCACTTACGTCCATAATTTCACTTATCTACACTATATATCAATGGCTCCAAATACCATTAACATTTATCGAACGACTAATGAATCAAGCCGAAATCCAGCTTATACGATTTGAAAATTTCACTGCATAGTAAACAAGCTCACTTTGATATTAGCATCGGTACCATACGTAAAACCAAACTAAACCGGCCCAAATTAAACAGAAATCTATATACCTACTTCCATAGTGACAAACATAATATTTAAACTAACTTTTAGATAATAGCAAAACCTGGGAAGAGAATCTTATAACAAAACCAAACCAAACTTTAGTTAGTGGTCACTTTGATCTACAAGAAAATGTCATTCATTCTCTTTTGTTTAATTATTCTTTCCAGTTTGAAACCTCAAGAAATGTCCCGACATTCATCGATTATTTTTATTTACAGAGATTTCAACTGATAATATAATTCGGAATAAAACTTGGAAAGCTTAATAATGAGAAAAAAAGGAATCAGAGGGTACAACCACAGAACAAGAAGTAACAACAGAGCGTGGTGACGATAGCCAGAGTCTCCATGATCGAGATAACACTCCACAAGAGATCATCGATTATTGAAAAATTACCCGACAACAATCTTATGTTCAGACCGGAGCTCAGGTTCTGGTATGATAGATTCACCTCCGGCCACCTGAATAACCACGACGACGACAGGTACGACGGTAGATCCATCAACGTCCATCGTGAAGATGACATCACCAGTTCTTGTTCCCTTCCTACTGCTTTCTTTTTGTTTTCTGAATTTAGGCTCTTTGGTTTATACAATCGATCTTCTGGCTTCTGAAAGAGGAGAATTTTTTTCGGTTGAGAGAAAAATGAGAATTTATTAAAATAATGACTTCGAAAATGAAATGTGTCACTGTTCTGACAAGTGGCTCTAACTTAGAGGTCGTTCTTTTAATAATTTTCTATTATTAACGTATCTAGTCGACAAAATATCTTAAAGTAGGACCAGATTAAAAAAAATTTCACGAATCCTAATACTATATGCGGTGCTATCTACTTTGATCCGTTTGGAAAAAAAAAATTCTGTAAATTCGACATTACTGTGAAGAAAAAAAATAAAGTTGATTCAAGTACTTATCTACAACACTAATCTAATTTACGTAATCGTATCTTTTGCCAATAGAGAACAAAGGTGTCGTAACTCGTAACCAAAGATTATCCACTGAAAGTGTGCAGAAAGCCTACTTAATTTGGTAGAAAATATGACAATAATAAACGTGGATTCTCAAAATTGTAGATTTTCGTACTAAAAAATAACATTCTATCAATTGTATTTAGCTAAATAAAACAAGTCTTTGTATTTTAATTTTTTTAAAGGAAAACAATTAAAGAAAAAGATTGAGTCGAGGTAAACTCTCGGTAAAAAATAAGAAGTTTGTTGTTAAAATGAGAATGGATGTTCTCTTTCTCAATGAAAGAAAAATTTATGTTTTGTAGAGTATACATGTGTAGGACTAGTAGACCACATAAAACGAATGATTTGTTGGATCGAATCGACATAAAACGAATGATTTGTTGGATCGAGTCGACATAAAACACTTGTCAGTGCCTTCACCTGTTTTCTTTGTCGACAACGAATCCCTGAGGGTGAAGTCACATCACATGTAGAGTAGTCTCTATGTATTGCATCATGCTTCCTATTTTCTCAATGATTGTGAAGTAGTTAGTTTGTTCTAGTTACCTTTTCGTGTCTCATGTGAAAAATATAAGATTAGTTTAGATTAAATAATTTTATCAATTAAGGATTATATAACTGAATCATCATCACTAGCTAACTGCAATTATTTTCTTACTACTCCAACAACATATATTGTCATTTTATTATGTCTCTAATTGGACTACTATGTTGTTCTCGTTTCTTTTCGTGAGGTCGAAAGTTAAACAAAAAAAGTTGTTGATATTTTGGTCCTAATATACAAAATTTGTCTGGTACCAATATATGATCGCACGTGTTTCACGATTCTACTCTGTGGGTCTTCTTGTGTTTGCCCCCTATTATTGCTTTGGTCATGAATTAATTATTCATCGATTCATTGTTATTTCTTGGTACTATATGTGTCCATTACAACATAGGAAAGTTAGGCATAGCATCCGACTAAATTTATTTTAGCTTCTCTGAGGTTAATTACCATCACTTTGAAAATGGTGTTCCCTCGACCTATAGAAACAAACACAATCTGCTCTTTACTTGTCACATATTATTCTCCTTGGAATTCCCCCATATCCTGTTTGGTAGAGATGAAGAAAACAATGACATTGATTAAGTTACTGATCATTTCAAAAGCAATTCTTATGTATGCATTTACTATGAGAATATTCTCCATATCTTATTCACCATATTTACATGCAAAAATAAAGTAAGTATACGGAAACAGGAAATGCCAAATACAAACATTAAAGTTTATAATATTTTCCGTTTGCATTTAAAGTTTGTACTGTATGTACCAAAATTAACAAAATATTTGTTTTTCGGTCTAAAAACCGATGATTACACAAGATTTAGGTTTTAATATAAACAGTATTTACAATATATATAAATACTTTACATTAAAAACCCTATAAAACACCAATAGCTCAGTGGTACAATGCAGGGTTCTAGCACGCCTCCGTTTCGAACCTTCCCTGACTCATCTCTCTCGCCGATTTTTTTATTTCGCTCCGGACTCAAAGAGCTGCAATTCTGTTTTCTTCGTTCTTTCTCCTTGCCCCCTAATTGATTTTCAGGTTTTTTGTCCTTCTTCGCAATTTCCGTTACTCTTAGCTCGTACACTTATTATCAGCTGAAGATTTGATCGATTAGGATTGATGAATATTGGGTTTTGTCATTGATTTGAGAAGTTTCAGTCTTCTCTACACATAGGAGTTACGATCACGTCTTGGGGTTTAGTCGAAATCCCAATGAAATCAATGTTTTAGCTCATAGCGAAAATCTCTTGATCGGATTCATTTTCTGACTTGCATTGACACACAGGAAGAGAGAAATAATGGATTTTGACGACGAAGACAAACCGAAAGAGGTTGCCAAAACCCGGAGATTTGCACCGGGTCGTGCCGGAAAGCCCAAACTCAAACCTAAACCCGAACCTACCGCAGCAGCGAAACCCGAGCCGCCGCCGTCACAAACTGATGACGTTGATGCGAAATTCTCTGTCTCCAAGGTTGAACCGGAGGTCTATAATGGCGCCGCCGTTAAAATGGAGATTGATCCAAAAGTGGACAAGGAGCCAGAGCCGGAGATGGAGACGCCGGAAGTTGAGTTGATGGAGGTAGATCAGCTTCCACTGCCGGAGCAGAAGGAGGAGGAAGAAGAAGAAGACGTTGTTGTTCGTGAAATTGATGTTTACTTCAATCCGTCTATTGATGCCAACACTAAGGTCAGCTAAAGATTCTTCAAAATTTTTGAATTTTGCTAATCAATTCAGAGTTTTTGATATTCTCAATTATGCTCTCAGCTTTACGTTCTGCAATATCCACTAAGACCGTCTTGGCGTCCATACGAAATGGATGAACGTTGTGAAGAAGTGAGTGTTCTCTTTGTTTTTTTGTTGCTAATTACTCTCTTTTGCAAATTTTCTTGTGGTCTAATCTTTTTGTTTGTGTATTATTGTGTCTTGAAGGTAAGAGTGAATCCATCTACGTCTCAGGTGGAGATTGATATGTCTATGGATGTAAATTCGAGCAACTACGACTCTGAGTTTGGAAGCAAATTACATATGACTAAGCAGGTCAGATTTTAGTTCTTCCAAGCTTTGATTCAAGTTTAATCTTGCAAACTTCATTTTTCTTTTTGTTGTTGGTTTTGGTAGACATTGACAACAACGTGGAAGCAGCCTCCTACATTGGACTATGCTATTGGGGTTCTTTCAGGTGATAAGGTATATATTTTTCTTCTTCCCTCTTTTTTTGCGTAGCTTGATAACATTTGTTGTGTAATGTGGACTGAATTTGGACCTTGTTGAGCTTTGCAGTTACACTTGAATCCTGTTCATGCTGTTGCTCAGCTCCGACCTTCTATGGACTATCTTTCAACTAAAAAGAAACAAGAAGAAGCTATTGAAGAATCTGCTGGAACGTCGAAAAAAAAGGTATGAGTCTCATGATCTAACATTGGAAAGAATTGAGGTGTGAAGATTTTGGTTCAACTGCAGATTCTGGTCTAAGTAGTTTGCATGATTCTATTTGTTTCATTCGTGGCAGAACAAGGCAGCGCAGGCTTCGGCTGATCAGAAACCAGTTGATGAAGAGGTATGAGTATTGGTTTTTTACTTAAAGCTTTTATGTGATCCTTTCTAATCTTTGAGTAGTTGTTATATATGGCGTTGTTAACTTATGCTTCTCTCGTTTAGAAATGGGTTTCACTCAAGTATCATGGACTTCAGTCCGAGTTTTCCTCCAAATATCTTATGGGAATGATGGCGAATGAGAACTCTTCAATAGACTTCAACATGAGCCCGTATGATAGTCTCCCCTTTGATATACAGTTTGTGTGTTTCCTGCGTACCTTAAACTTTTGTTGTTAACATCTTCTTGTATTTCATTGAAGGGAGGTTTATATCAACTCACTGTGCCGTGGGGAAAGCAGCAGAAACTCTGAATCAAAAGATATATCTATACGGTGCAGTCCATCATACTTTTCGATACATCAATTTGTTCTTAAGTGTTCCTTTAATGATATAGCCTTCTTCTGCTTTCAGGGCCTTGACCTCACTACCGCTTGAAGAACGTGTGCAAAAGTTGCTCTGCAAAAGTTTCTTAATGGTAAACTCTCATTATGTGAAGTTTATATGGATCCTTCTCCTATAAAGCCGTCTGACTAACTTGCTCGTATCATAACAGGGACGTTCTTTATTTCGATACAGTGTTCTCAAGTATTATGCTCCAGAGTACTCGGACGAGGATTTCTTAAAAGTCCTCGAACAATATGCCTGGTTAGTTCAAGGTTTATGGACTCCGAAGACTAGTCTACTAAAACTAGGCAAGCTGGAGTTTTCCAGGGACTATGGCCTGATGCAGTTCAGCAAGGGACCGACTATAAAGTACTCTGTCGTTGAAGCAACCGGGGCTCGGCTTAAGGGTGATATAAAGACGAGGTTGAGTGAGTTTGCCAAAGATAGGCCTCTGCTATGTGATTGGAAGTTCAAAGAGCCCACTGATGTTTCCTTTCAAAAATTCTACCCGGAGATTGCTGACAAGCAAGCAAACATTTGGAAGGAAATGGAAGTGAAACTTAATTTATTTGTTGAAACACAAAAAGCGAAAAGTAACCGGAAGAACACTGGAGGCGGCAAAAACCCTCCAGAAACAGAGAAACCAGAGAACCCGGCGACTCAGCCTGACAAAGGAGGAGCAAGTTCAAGAGTTGCAAAGAGCGTTGGACCAAAGATGTCGGAAGATATTCGGAGGGCGATACCAAAGGCCTTGAAAAAGGTGTTTCAAACTCACAAAGTTTGCAGGTGAGAGATTCTCTTGGGAGTTATATCTGAACTTAGGGATTTTTGTTCAGAATCACTGGATTTAATAAGGGTTTTTTTTGTGTGTAGCTACGAGACGATATGTCAAACACTTAGGGATTACGCAGTGCTCCAAGCGAACAATCCAAAATCTGATACAGGCATGGCAAAGAAAGTGGCGGAAGCTGTGGATGCTCACCAAGACGAGCTCAAAGAAATTATAAGCGAAGTGACTGTTAACATTCACGGCTCCTTTGTCTCCAAGTCGTCTCCAGACCATCCAGAATTTGATGCTCTCAGGTTAGTTTTGTTGTTTGAAGAATAATAA